CCATCCTTGATCCAACTGAATTTCTCATTCCCGGCTTTATCGACACTCACACCCACGCTCCACAGTGGGCCCAACGCGGCACTGGCCGAGGCATTCCTCTCTTACAATGGTTGGAGGAGATCACGTTCCCCCACGAAGCTAAATTGGCCGATCCACACTATGCACGACGGCTCTACTCCGTCTGCGTCCGAGGAGGCCTCCAGCAGGGCGTCACGACCGCCTGTTATTATGGGTCGCGACATGCCGAGGCGTCCGTGATTCTGGCTGAAACCTGTCTCGCTCAAGGCCAACGTGCATTGATAGGCAAATGCAACATGAATCGCCACGCACCAGACTGGTACCGCGATAGCTCCGTTGCTGAATCGATCACAGACACGGAAACGTTCATCCGAAAAGTCCGGGATCTGGACTCTGGCCACGAGCTAGTCACTCCGGTGATCACGCCCCGATTCGCCATTAGCTGCGAGGAGAAGCTTCTCCACGAGCTGGGACAGCTCGCAGCCCGCAACCCTGACCTGCCAATTCAAACTCACTTCAACGAGTCCCGCGGCGAGGTGGAGTTTACACGCACCCTATTCCCCAATGACACGAGTGAGACGGAGCTCTACGAACGGCTGGGGCTTCTCAACGAACGCAGCATCCTCGCCCATGCCATCTACCCAGGCGATGCGGAGATCGACCGAATGGCGCAGTTGGACTGCGGGATTGCCCACTGCCCGATCCCGAACGTGACGATGGATTTATTCATGGTGGCCCCAGTGCGAGAGTATCTGCGGCGCGATATCAAGATCGGCTTGGGGACCGACTGCGGTGGGGGGTATTCAAGCTCGATGCTGGAGGTGATGAAGGCCGCGTTTGTAGTCTCGACCGCCGGATGTACCATGACGCAGGGACGCGATGAGCCGTTGACTCTCACGGAAGGGTTCTACATGGCCACCTTCGGGGGTGCGCGAGTCTGTGGACTCGACGGAAAGGTGGGGAACTTTCTCATTGGCAAGGAATTTGATGCGTTGCTGGTGAGGACGAAGACCGGTGTCATGGCGCCGGTGGAGGAGACCGATGATGTAAGGACGGTGTTTGAGAAGTTTCTCATGACTGGCGATGACCGCAATATTATGCAGGTCTTTGTCAAAGGCAGGAGAGTTCATGTACTCTAATGTTGTGGTATATTGAGGGACGGAAAATTGAGCAATCTCTTCCTGCCCGATGGAAACTTCTTACTGTGTGGAGGTGGATGAATCTGAACCTAGTACAAGGATGGGTGTATCTATAAATGGATCCATAAACAGGGCTGACGGAAGGGGGAAAAAGCAAGGCAGCCGGGATCTCCGCCTCAGGCATTCCAACACCCAAACTCCCACATGCTGTTTCAACTTCAATCGACCAAGGCTGAACTGAACTGAACCAACAACTCGACTCAACTCGTCACTCCCCCCCCCCCCCATTTATTTATTTCTTCCTTGTCTTTCTCTCTTCTAGGCCAATCTCTCTCCCGTTCTCTTCTAACCCTTATCTTTTCCTGCTCTACATCTCTTTCGTTCTTTTCATTGTCTCATAATTGTCCAGCTGCCACTTTTCTCTGGTCAGCCTTTTTCCTGTGCGAGGGTCTCTCTAACTTACCTACGCGTTCCTGACTGCGGCATCCGTCTTCCTCAGGCACCACCCCTCTCCCATTCGTCCACCAGTTCTTTCACACGATAATCGCATCGAGTTTTCATTCGTTTTTCGCCTGATTACAAATTTCTTACTTCCAGTACATATCTGAGGCTCCTCACGGGCTCCTCACCCACCTGCTGTTCAGGATGGCCGAAGAACCACAAGTCATGTCTATCCAGCAACGGATTGCGGCGTTGAAACATGCCCAAGCGGGTCAGACTGGAGGCGCCGACGCCAGTGAGCCGACACTGATCCAACCCACTCCGTTCCCCATCCGCCCGGCTGCTCCTCCGAAACCCAAGACATTCAGTCTTCCCAATATCGATGAAGCTCCCGGCAGCAATGGATGGGCTCACAATGTCAATAGTGAGACCCCGCCGCCTACCTACAATGAATCATTCCCTAGCCCAGTCTCACGGCCAATGCCCACCCCCGCACCGGCCAAATTCAAGGCGCCCCCACCATTGCCCGTGCGCAAGCCTTCCGATCAGCAGGTCCAACAACGCCCTGCCTTACCACCGCGACGACCTACAAACCCTTCCCGGAAAGCCTCCCGGGAGTCGATGGCCTCAGACATATCGCGATCAACCACTACAAGTATAGGTCGCGCCACAATCACCTCCGTGGCCTCTTCCGACTCGGGAACAGGTCGCTCTCTGCCACCTGCATGGGGCGAGGCAGAATTACCTCCCTTGCCTCCCAAACGACAACCCCAACTGCCCTCTCGACCCTCGGCTGCATCTGTCAAAAGCAATAGTAGCCTGTCTGTGCCGCAACTGCCCGCGCGCAGGGGGTCTACCCAGAGTGTCTGCTCCTCCGACAGTACATATTCTCAGCCGCCCCGACCGCCTCCGCGACTCCCGTCCCGGAATAGCAGCGACAGGTCCCCCAGCACCAATACAGATAATACTTCGAATGAGAGTAGACCGACCCTTCCCAACAGAAGGTTACCTCCGCCGCCTCCATCAAACGCTGCTTTGGGAAAGCTGCAGCAGGCTGGATTCGCAGCGATCAACAGGACTACCTCTCCTGTGGAAACGAATGGTGGTCCTCCGCCGGTTCCATTGGCTTCACGCCCGTCCCCGCCAGATCTTTCTAAACTCCAAGCTAGCAAGCCTCGCTTGCCTGCTACTAGCCCAACGGCCGGGACGCCGAATGCTGCTGCTGCACAGACAGTGGCCTGTCTAAAATGTCGGGATTTCTCAGCAGCAGACGCCCACGCCGCTCAATATCCGCGTGCGACTCTGCCGACTTACGATTTGGGCTGGTTGGCCAGAGAGCTGACGGCGCCTTTCCCCTCGCCCACCGACAAGGCTCGTGTCATCTTCACCTGGCTGCATCATAATGTCGACTACGACGTAGATGCCTTCTATGGTAATCGCGTGCAGCCATCGACGCCGGCTAAGACGCTGGCTTCGGGATTAGCGGTATGCGAAGGGTATGCGGGCCTCTTTCAGGCCCTCGCGACAGAGGCAGGCCTCGAATCTCGCAAGGTTAGTGGCCACGGCAAGGGCATCGGGTATCTGGACCCCGTTCCTGGTTCAGCGCTTCCTCCGTTCAAGGGAAATCATGCCTGGAATGTGGTGCGGATTGATAATGGGCAGTGGAAGCTGATCGACACCTGCTGGGGGGCGGGATGCGTCCAGGGGGCGGGTCAGCCCTACCGAAGACAATTCAACCCGATCCATTTCATCGAGACCAATGATGAATTTGGCCTCAAGCACTTTCCCTCCAATGGAAACGACTTTTACCGGGATGACGGGCGTCCCGGAATCTGTTGGGAGGAATACCTTATGGGCAATCCAGCCTCACCTCTGGGGGCCGGGCAGCCGTTGGTCTACTCGGATGCGGAGAAGCACAGCATTGGAGCACGCACCTATCGGCCAGCGGCCAAGGAGATTGCGGTGCAGCAGGGCGGGCCGCTGCGCTTCCAGTTCGGACTCATCTGCGAGCACTGGACTCTGGAACACCACTCGCGGGCCCAGCCCGGTCTTTTCCTGTTGGCGATACATGGCGCGGATGGCGGACAGGACGACCGTCTGGTCTTCACGCATTTCCGGGGCACTAACCCCGGGGGCGGCGGAGATCTGTGGTATCTGGACGTGCCGGATGTTCGGAGTTTAGGCATCCCGGGCCAGACGGTGCAGGTAGTGGTACTCACACAGTTTGCGGATCGGAAAGATCCACGAGGTGTGTCTATTACGGCGGAGGAATATCGGCGTGGTGTTGGGCGGGTGGCAATGGCGTGGGCAGGTATCGCCCAATGGACATTAGTCTGAGGAGTCCGTCAACGAGTCTAGGTGAGACCGGTCATGGCATGGGACATTTGGCCCCCCTTGGGGCAATAGTACCCTCCGGTTAATTAGGGCTGGCTCCAGGGATAATTCAGGGTTGTTTCGTCACAACTACAACCGACCCCGCTTGCCCAGACTTCTCGTCTGGAATATTCATTGGATGCCTTGTGCCATCATTACTCGTACCTTGGAAGGGTCTTGTTTTTGGGAGGGGTACTTTACGGAGTACCAGGGGCACATACTATATTAATTACTTCTATTCCTACAACCTAACTAATGATAATGATGACACCCGTGAGCATCTACGCGAGTTTTTGAGTCCGAGTCAGAAATGAGCGCATGTAGCCGAGCACGAGCACCAGGCCCTAAAAGGCAGCCTCCCCTAACCCCCACCGAGAAAGAATTTTACCTAAGACCTTAGCTCTAGTGGCGATTGTGGTTTTTGTAGTAGGTAGTGGACGATTGGAGGAAAGAATTGCAATGAGAAAATCCGCCAATCCCTGGCTCGGGGCGGGCGATTCCGTTGCGAAGAGGGTTGCGAGAAGCCGTTTTCCTCGGCTAACGAACAGTCATGGAGATTAATTACTCGGGAGGGTGGGTGGATGGAGTCCGCCGCAACGGGGGAGTCTCATTCATATATAAAGGGGGAAAAAATGAAGCAGTGAATACATCAATGACGACAAGATAAGGAGTGCTTTGGGGACATCACCGGGACGAACCAGTTACCGTTTGTATCTGTTCATGGTGTGTGTTGTGTTGGTGTGTTGTGTTGGTGTGTTGTGTTGTGATGATCGGGATTGCTGCTGTTGAAAAGGCAGAGATTGTCGGGTAAGAACTGAGGGACTAAGACCGTCTGGGGAAAGACGGGCGGGGGGCCGAGACCCTTGATGCCCGATTCGGCAGGCCTTCGAACAATCATGTGCTCCGCTCCGGGGAAAAATTCGGGGATTGTCCGGGCCTCCACAATCCCTCCATCCCATCCATTCCTCCCAATCAGCCGATGTTTTCCTTCTCTTCCCCGGCCTTGTTTTCCCCCGAACAACAGATGATTCCAGATTATACCGAACAGAAAGGATCCATCTTTCAGTCAGGCCATCGACGTCCTGTACAGAAGGATCCCGATATGCAATCCCGACCAGACAGTCCCAAGCAATAATCGGTGAGAGGGTCTTCGTCACACAGCATCGCACAGCCGACTTGGCTGCTGCTGCTGCTGCTGCTTCTTGCTTGCTGCATTATGCATCCCCCGGCCACCGTCTCTTTCGCTGCACCAACACAGTGTTGTCGTTGTCGAGTCTATCACCGGGATAGGTAGCTAGCAATGCCGATCCATCCCAATTAATTCTCACTTGGTCCTCCCCCCCCCTCTTCCTTTTCGCATTTCTCGCGTATGCGCCCATATGGGGTCCGCTGGGACATGGATCTTGATTGGGGTCCCCAGATCCCCTCCTCTCCTTCCCCTCCTCCTCCACGGCTGGCTTTGGATGCCCGTTCTCGGGTCAGGGTATTTTCCCTGGCTAGCTGGGGAGGAGGATTTGATTACCTCTCGTGCGGAGAAAACGGGATACCACCACGGGCCAGAAAAGGCTTTTTCATTTACCACGGTTTCGGCTCAATTGCCCCCTTAGGGTCACATTCGGCCCTCTCCGGGTGGTTCTGCATGACGGGTACGGACCAATTGTTCAGATTCCCTCTGCTTCCTGTTTGTTGATCCCCTTTCCTACTCATCCGGGTGGTCCAGTACATCCTCGGAATGGCAGTCCTCAGCGCAGAGTCAATCTTGTGTACCAACTAAAATCAAATCGTTGACGTCTCGGTTAGTTTCTCCACACCATGTGCTGTGTGCTACGCTTCTTGCCCCCAGAATGTTGGGCCATCTGACACACCCAGCTTGACCCAGGTTCAGATTTCGTCTTGCGCGTCTCGGCCAGCCGATGGAATTGACCCACGGCTTCCTTCCATGTCAGCTATCCGGGCTGCATGGCATCCATCCAATCCTCGCCATAGGACAGATACTCTTAGCTTCTTGGTGCTAAACCACATGTGTCCTCGCTCCGCCAGGGTTCAGGCGACGCCGCAACAGAATATATTAATCTTTCTGTTGCGCTAATCACCTCGTCGACCATAATGAGCGGGGACCCTCTTCTCTCTCTCCCCCCTCCATGGAAGGACAAGTCGGGTCGGGACAGCGCGCGCCCTAAGGTTTAGCGGTTGAAACCGGTCGTGATGGCTTGTCTTTCACTTGTTCAGGTTATGGCGGATGCTTGGTTGGGCCACTTACGTAGTGGCGAGCATTCAATTTAATTTATTTTTTTTCTCTCCATCTTCGTCTCTCGTGGCCCCATCCACTTCTCGCGTGCGCGTGGGTGGTGCTCTCCAGGCAAGACCCAGCAGTTTAAATTCCCCGTCTTTTCCCCAGTTTTCTCCTCTGTTCGTTCGTTCCCCTGATCGGTGGCTTCCCTTCTTCCCTTTCCTAGATAGACTGTGCTCAACACTCTCCCCCGTGTGTGGAGTCTATCTTCCATCATGCAGAAGATCGGCAACATCTACTTCATTTCGGCCATCGCCGTTATCGGCGGTGGTCTTTTCGGTTTCGATATTTCGTCCATGTCTGCTATTATTAGCACGCAAGCCTATCTCTGCTACTTCAACCAAGGAGGCGTTACATACGAGAATGGTGAAAAGCAATGTTCCGGTCCCACTGCAGATGTCCAGGGAGGTATCACTGCCTCCATGGCGGGTGGTTCCTGGCTGGGTGCTCTGATTTCTGGCTTCATATCGGATAGGTTCGGTCGTAAGACTGCCATTCAGGTCGGTTCGATTATCTGGTATGTTGCCTCGGGTATTTGCTTGATCTTTCGGTCCCTAATGATGGCGGTATAGGTGCATTGGTTCCATCATTGTCTGTGCAGCCCAGAACATTCCCATGCTGGTTGTTGGCCGTGTCATCAACGGTCTCAGTGTTGGTATTTGTTCCGCTCAGGTGCCCGTCTATATTTCTGAGATCGTGAGTCTATCCCGATGGTTCCCTGCTCTTTTGCCTGGTATACTAATTGCGTGCATAGGCTCCCCCAACCAAGCGTGGACGTGTGGTCGGTCTGCAACAGTGGGCTATCACCTGGGGTATCTTGATCATGTTCTAGTAAGTTAACTGGGCTTTGGCTGCCTATCACGACCATGCTGACGGTCTCCACTAGCATCTCCTATGGTTGCAGCTTCATCAAGGGTACTGCTGCCTTCCGCATTCCCTGGGGCCTGCAGATGATCCCCGCGATTCTGCTCTTCCTCGGTCTAATGCTGCTCCCCGAGTCTCCGCGTTGGTTGGCGCGTAAGGATCGCTGGGAAGAGTGCCACGCCGTGCTGACCTTGGTGCACGGCCACGGTGACCCCAACTCCCCCTTCGTCCAGCGCGAGTTCGAGGAGATCAAGAGTATCTGTGAATTCGAGCGTGCGAATGCCGACGTCACGTACCTCGAGCTCTTCAAGCCCAACATGATCAACCGCACTCACGTCGGTATCTCCACTCAGATCTGGTCCCAGCTCACCGGGTATGTGCAAAGAATCAGTTTCCCTATCGCAGCAAGCTAACAGGCCGATGCTTTACAGAATGAACGTCATGATGTACTACATCACCTACATCTTCGCGATGGCCGGCATGACCGGCAACAACAACCTCACCTCCTCCTCCATCCAATACGTGATCAATGTCATCACCACCATCCCTGCCCTGGTCTGGGGAGACCGATGGGGCCGTCGTCCGACTTTCCTGGTCGGCTCCATCCTGATGATGATCTTCCTGTACGCCAACGCCGGTCTGATGGCCACGTACGGTCGCCCCGCACCCCCCGGTGGTCTCAACGGCGTCGAGGCCGAGTCCTGGATCATCGAGGGCGCCCCCAGCAAGGGGGTCATCGCCTGCACCTACCTCTTCGTGGCCTCGTACGCGGTCTCCTTCGGCCCGGCCTCCTGGGTCTACCCGCCTGAGCTCTTCCCGCTGCGGGTGCGCGGCAAGGCGGTGGCGCTGTGCACCTCCTTCAACTGGGCCTTCAACTTCGCGCTTTCCTACTTCGTGCCGCCCGCCTTCGTCAACATCAAGTGGGAGGTCTACGTGCTGTTCGGTGTCTTCTGTACTGCCATGACATTCCACATCTTCTTCATGTTCCCCGAGACCACGGGTAAGACTCTCGAGGAGGTCGAGGCCATCTTCACCGACCCCAACGGTATCCCATACATCGGCACCCCCGCCTGGAAGACCCGCAATGAGTTCAAGCACGGAGCCATGGTCGAGGAGGTCGGCTTCGACGAGGAGAAGCGCGCCGGCGGCGACGTCGTCCACGCCGAGACTGCAGAGCCTAAGGTTTGAGGGTCTCCGCCTGGATGAAGCATCGATGTAGTGTTGGGCTGTTTGTCAGGGGTTGGGAGATGTTGAAGAGGCACGACTGATGAATGCGGGATGAGGGATGAAAGATGATTGATCTGCATTTGGGTTGCAAAAAGAGATACCATACCATGCGTTTGTCACGGTTCTATATACTTTAATTTTATACTTGCTGTCTGTGTGTGTGCGTGTGTGTAGTATATACGATGATTGGTGTGAGATACGGAGAGAATTGAGAAGAAATAATAATTTACAAAATACTGCTCTGCATCTTGAGACCACCGCTTACTCTGCGCACAGATATTCACGGATACGACCAGGAGGAGCGAGTCGTCGCTTGGGGAGGTTAATATAAGATCTCTTGCCTACGGCGTGGTGGTAGAGGGGAGGAGGTCCCGTCGGATGGGGTTTTCTAAGTATATCGCTGGAAACTCTGAGATCTGAGTACTGTTACTGTACCTTCTTGCACGACTGACGTTGGGTCCCCTTGTCGCCTGAGCCCTGGTCACGTGCAGGCAGCTCCCCTCACCGGCCGCTGCACTCTACTTGAACTTAATTCAACCCAACTCTCTCTCTCTCTCTTCCTCACCCATCAAGATAGCATTCTAATATAGTCAGGGGATGAAATGATGGGGTTGGGCTTTGGGAGCGTAGGACTAGACGTGATCAGAGAGAGGTTGCGAGTGACGGTGGTCTGTACTCTTGAGCCAGCAGCCCCTTGGGCTCTGTTCAGTATATGTATAATAGAACTATCTAAACTTCAGAAATTTCCTTGTCCCTGCGCGTGAGGCTCTTCAAATTCTCTTCCCATTCTTTCAATACCTGCCAGCGAGTGAACCCACTCTCGGACACTTTAGGAACGATCTCTTCTATATCGTTCCAAACATACCTAAGAGGTTTCCTAAACCATGACAGGAGAGTCGGGAGAGTGGCGAAGGTGAGCATCAGGACCACAAACACAACAATGGCTGTGATGACCATGTGCTGGAGCACGTCTGCTGGAGGGGGGGGGCGGGGCCGCTTGCATGCTGTAAATGCTGGCGGCGAATCCCAATGGCAGAAAGAACACCGTCGAATAGGTGAAATACTTGATGTTGTCATTCTGGCGGAAACTCCGCTCGCTGATATATTGATTATACTTGTTCTTGCGCTCCTCCGTAAGAAAATTCAGAGACTTGGACAACGAGGCGACCGTGCTCTGGTGGGATTTCAGGTCACGCTCGGCTTGGTGGCCTAGGTTGAATGCGATGTTGATCGCCTCCCGGTACTTCTTCTCGTCTTTGTTGGTCCAACGTGGCTGCGCCGTTCAACGGTCTTTGACCCTAGAGTTCCAGCGATCGACGTTCTCGGAGACGCTTCTCAAGTCCTGACTTAAGTATTCTAGAACTTCATGGAGCGCGGCCCATGCCCTCAGAGAGTCAAAGAAGACCTTGGTATTGAAGTTTGGCTAGAGAATGCTCGTCCTTGAGGCTTTGGTTCCGGGTCTCATGACGAAGCTGTTCGCGAATACTCTGAATGATGGTCGAGATGCTTCGGTTGCACTGATCGAGGATTCGATAACACAAAAGTAGCTCAAGGACCTTCCTCTGCTGCCAGACATTCTCGTTCCCCTCTCTAAAAAGGTCTCTCATAAAGCTTCCGCATAAGAACTCCTTCATGGTGGCTTTTGAGATTGGCCGTGCCGAACTTTCGATATAGTGACAAGTCCAATAGCGATCGAAGATATCGCCATACAATCGAAAGCCAGCGCTAGCTACTACCAGTTTCTGTCGACTTCTGAGTTGTGGTAATTCTCAGATGGTCTGATCTAAGATCAAATTCTCCCCTTTAGGGTTAAGGGACTTGAAGTCAGCTGGGCTTATCACATACTGAAGCTGGTCTCCATTAGGTGTATCAGCTTCCCAAAGATGCAAGAAACCACAATGGAACTCTGTCTCCCAGGTATTGTAGACGCGGCTTGCTTTATCTTCGAAAACCGTCGAACAGTTGGCATGGCGATCGAAAAATGTGGCAAGCTGAGCTTGCTCACTGTCCGGGGTTGCAAAATGGCACATGAGTGCGTAGTCCAGGTAAGGATTCTCACAGTCTATGAAGCGCTTCTGTGCCTCTTTGACATCTCGTACGGCTTTCAGACGAGACCAACAGCCACTTGATGTCCAGGAGCATCTTATCAAGACCCGAAGTCCGCTTCTCTCGACGTTCCTTTTTCCCAACGTCGACCAGAAAGCTTCCACTTCCACTAGGAGATTTCGTCAGTGGGCGATACTCCTTCGCAGGACTTTGAACATATTCAGCGACAGTCTTATTGACCCAGGCCTGCGTGGCCTGTCGGACAATGCGTCCGGTTCTGACATCGTCGCTCGAGTCCGACACTAACACCTTCTCGTAACCATCAAGATTGTCCTGCAATTGTGATGATCGCAGTCGTACATCTTTTATCATCGCGTCGCTTACTTTCTCAGTTCCAACAAGGATACGCCCCCTCCACATAGGTGTACATATATTCACTGTGCTGGAGTTCAACCACAGCTGGATAATGTTGTCACCGGCAATCCTCTCCGTTGGAATTTTCCAGTCGAGGAAGACCGGGCGATTGTATAGCCACTCCTCCCTAATATTCATGATATTTTCCATGTCAATCTGGTCGAAGAATGGGACGGTGCCATATAGGACGGTCTTGCTGGTAACAAAGGTTTCCAGGAACATGCTTTCTTCTGGAGAGCCAGGTTGGACACGCTCTTTGTTGAGCCCCTCGCTCATTTCTGATTCGAGTAGAAGATAAGGAGCCTCGAAAGAGGTATGCGCCCAACGCTTGAAGTCACTGTCGTGATGGCCATCAAACCATCCAGGGAAAATCCCATTCAGGGGCAGCATGTAGCCAAGGATCGCCCGCCCTTCACGGTCAGCCACTGTGGATGCTTCTGATTCGGGATCTGAAACACCCTGGCTGGCTAACAACATTCTTAGCCCATGGTGCAGAAGGTCATCTTGAGTTGCTGTCCTGGACTGGTGAAATTCTTAACTGCAGCTTCATTGTTTTGTCCCATCGTGGGTCCTCTTTTACCAAGGATCGTGTTACCAGCTTGTAGAACAAGGCTGTGTCGCGTGTGTGCAAGGCGAATCTCGTTTCTCGAGCCGAGCGAGTCACTGCAAGCATGCGTTCCTGGGTAGCCTCGTTATTGGTGGTAAAATGGTAAAGGATCTCCCGCAGCATCAGTTTGGTGGGCTCGTATTTTGGTACAAGCGTCTCCCACTCACCCGGCCATCTGGAATCTGTAGATTCACTGCCAGTCTGATCTGCACGCCTCAAGTATTTCTCAGAGTTTTTCCTTCTCTGATCCCAATCCAATACCGTGCTAATCGCGGCGACAGCGTTCGCAGTCCAGACAGGGTCGTCAAGACGAAAGTAATCCGTGCCAGCGCGCTGTGAGTGACGCCACACAAAAGCATCCCCCTTCTTCCTCTGGTCCAAACCTGATAACCACTTCATCCCCACCTTCAGCCACTCCTTAACTTGCTTGCACTCCTGCAACGTACTCTCATCCCGAGACAGTTCTCTTCCTCCAGCCATTCCCAGTACGCATATGCCTTGAGAATCTGAAACGGCGTATCTTTGAGACTATTGGAGAGGAGTTCAGGTGAGTTCGGCATGATCTTGCCCGTGACCCAGTAATTCCTCGCAAAGTCTCTGCCATCCACCATTTGGGCGGTGGTGAACACCCAGCGAAGATGGCCAAAGCATTTCTTCCGAATGCGGCACTTCAAAGGATGATCAGTGCTCAACCCCTTGGCAAAATCTACCAGGTACTTGAACGCATAACTGGAGAGGGAAGAGGATGCTTAGCTGGATGTATCCAGGCATTGGGGACCTGAGAAAATTACAAGCTAGCAGACACAAAAATGCGATGAGAAGACAATTCGGCACATGTCAGCGCCACGGGGGGATCCTCGGATATGTCATCCAAGCCGTTCGCGATCGGTATCATACAAGCAGACAGGATGTATTCCACATTGCGTTCGATAAAAAACGGACGGTCGAACTGGTTTCTGTCTATCGGTGGAACCCGCTCTGGGGGTTTTTTGATCAAGAATTCTTTCATATCCACCTCGTTTGCCCTCAGCACCAGAGAGCGCCAGTCAACGGATCCTCTTCTGAGAAGAACCAACTTATAACCAATAGAGAGATTTAGCGATTTGCCGGTTGGGACAACATACTCGCGCTCTTCTTTCCACCTCGTCTGATCCACGGCTTCTCCATTGAGGAACAGTCCCATGACTACTGCAATAGCAGTTGGCTGGGCATCCCACCCCGAGCCCTCTTCTCCTTCACTCACACGACACTCTTTTTCACTTCTTCCCAGCGATTGAATCCGTACGAAAGCGTATCCCCCGGGTCCGGGTCCCGCAAGAGTAGACCCTGTTCCTTTCGCATGGCTGAAGGAATTTTCACGGTCAACAACGTCGAGTTCCTGCACTACTAATTTGGTACCCGGTACTTGCGTGACGGGAAGTGGTGTGTCTTGCAGGTTCTCCACAACAGATTGCTTGATTGCAATCCCATTGGAGACCGCGCATTGGTCCACCAGTAAGTTTCAATCTTGTCCATCGCTCTTGGATACTGGAAGCCTGGACCGAATCCATACCCCCATTCAATCATTTCCTCAAGATGCTGAGCGCGCTCCCGAGTCCGATGTGCCGCAGGTAAGCCTGCGGACCCGATGGCGTAGATCGACGATGGCTTGTGCCCCAGATAGCGACTAATCTGGGTGAACTCACCGAATCGCGTGACCGTGGCTGTTGCTTCCTCATCTCCAAAGGACATGTAGCTCATGCGAGTTGAGACAGGCTTGTTGGAATCAAAGGGTGCTTTGCATAACTCGTCCGCCGGTGTCTCTCCGGTTGAAGATAGATTGTGGATCTGAACCCACCGTAATAGCTTAGCTTTGCAAAAAAATTGAGTCTGGATTATAATGCACTATACTTACATATTTCTTGACCTCGGCTGGTTCGGGGGCTGGTGAGTAGTAGTCAGCCCACGTGATAGAACTGCCAGCATCTTGCTCATCAGCAGCGTGAACACACCAAGCACCCCCACCTGCCCCACTGCCCTCGGCGTTAGTCTTTGCATGTTTAGTGCTTGAAAGAGCCAGAATTTTCACACTTCAAGTGCCTGGGGAGCAATTTCTCCTCTCTACCCCTTTATGGAGCTCGAGTCTAGTTCCGGGTACTCTGAAGTATGTACCATGGGTGGGTGCGAAGCAATATTGGTCGATAAGTACAGACTTGAAATCAAGGTGCTAGCAGATTGAAAGTTCTCTTTTAATTTCGGGAAAGCACGACAAACTGACCCCTTATCATATCCCCGCATTTGACCGTAATCCAATCGAGCAGCTAGTAGTTGAAATCGTCGTAGTATTCGCCATTTTCGCAGAGGGGCCAATTGTGCCTTAGGGCCCGATCCGGAGGGAAGGGCACGCTTGCGCCGCGTTCGATCACGCGCAGAGACACCCCCAGCGCCCCGAGGTCCTCCTGCAGCCCACGCAGTCGGCCTTCCCAAGCAAGGTCCGGCTCAGGAGCCTTCTCCTCCCTCGATGGTGCCGGCACTCCTCGGCTGTGGCCCTCGTGGTGGACAAATTGGCAAAAGAGGCGTTGCAGGGCTGGCAACCCGCGCTCCTCCCGGCGATACTGGAGTAAGCCTTCGAGCTCGTCCCCCAGCGCCCATGCGCCCTGCATTAGGCAATCTTCAATGTACAGATTCTGTAACGAGCGCGGCAATAGTGTTCGAAGGGGTTGCGCGGGTTCTAGCGCGCGGCTCCCGTGGAAGGGGAGCAGGTTGCTCCATCGCAGATGCACCGTGTGCAGATTCGGAAAAACAGAAAGATCGCCGAAGAAGGTGGGCCGGGGACTCTCCGCGTCCTGCGTGATCTGGCGTCCATCACCAGCAAAGGCCACGTGGAGATGACGCAGGGAGGATCGAGACTTTTGGAGCGGACGATAGAGCTGTGAGACATCCACCCAGCTACACCAATGCCATGGCTGATCCATCTCCACGGCGAACGACTCAAGGTTTGGACACCATTCAAGGAATTGAGGTAGGTTGGACAGGTCATCGTGCGGCCCTTCCAGGTCGATGTGTGTGAGTGAGGAGGAGATTGGCACCAGATCCCTGAGAAGTTTACGGGGCAGTGAACCGTTGCATGGATTGCGGACGTAGAGTATGCGGAGAGACGGGATGCGTAGGTAGGGAAGCATTCGCTTCAGGGGCACGGCCTTGATGGCTCCCTCATTATGCCAGACCGGCCCGTCGCGGAGGGAGACCTGGGAGAGGCGCGTGAGGATCCCAAGCTCGGGTTTTCTCGCCCAGTGGATTACCCGGTCGAAGTGTGTGGTATACCCCTGCGTCTGTGGAATAGTTTTGAAATCGAATTTCATGCGTTCCTCCGGCAGTCGAATGGCTAACCTCTCGAGATTTCGGACCTGAACTAACAGCAATGCCAGCCAGGCATCTTCGTAGATCCAGGGCTCATGGTACATATCTTGTCGTTCGCGATCAGGGCGGAGATCTCTTCTCCAGGCGCGGTATTTGCGTCGATGCTTGCATTTGGCATCGCCGTACGGCAGCATCAACGCGCGAAGTTTCTCCTCCGGCACGGCCGGGAGTGGAGCACGAGACCTCCATTTCTCACAATGACTTGGGTACAGAGTCAAGGACCGGATCAAGGGCGCGAGGCGCGGATTTTCGATCATCGCCTGGCAGAATCGCCGCACGGGATTCTTGTGGCTCCCCTCCACGAGTCTGTATCCGTCGTCCCAATAAGCATTGAGAGGAAGGACTACTTGGTCATAGAGAACGGGGATGAAAAATGAATAGTAGTCCTTTGATACGAGGACTAACTCCGAGAGATCTTGAGGGTCGAGGAAAGATACCACCTGGAGAACAATCTCTCCAGGGAGTAAGGCGAGCATCATGTCACAAATACTTGGCTAGATAGTCATAGGCCAAGGACGGTACGACGGCAGCCACGACGACTACAACATCTGTGTGGGCCACCTGAACCCGGACTGCGTGGCGTGGACGGACAACTTCTACGGGCTGCCGCGGAAGGCGGCGCAGGTGAACATCACGGACCCGCGCACCGTCGTGGCGCAGGCGCTGCCTCACCTGGACGGCCTGCGCGAGAACATCCTGGCCGCGCAGCTGCAGACGCTGGTCGGCGCCTGGCCCGGCTTCAGCGACGACATCGTGCAGAGCGTCTCGCTGGCAGTCGTGCTGCTCCTCCAGGCCGTCAGCTCCATGCAGGAGGTCGTCACCGTCGGCAAGGAGGAGAAGGCCTGGGAGCACCGCGAGATGATCGAGGAGATCCTCGGCGCCATCTTCCTGGTCGTCCCCTTCCTGGGCGAGCTCGACGCTGTCAGCGACGCCCTGGCCGACGTCGCCGAGATCGTCGCCGACAGCATCTACGAGATCGTCGAGGACCCCAACAACGATGTCATGACCATCCTGAGCACCCTCCTGCTGGTCGGCCAGCGCTCCGCTGACGAATACGCCTCCATGGCGGCCGCGCGGCGCGACATCTCCGACGAGACCATCGAGGCCTTTGGCCCGGTCTTTCAGGAGAAGAACACTCAGGTCGAGAACATGGTCAAGGACTGTGTGGCGGCATAAAGCAATAACAGAGAGAAAGAAAAACCAGGCCCGTGGCTTATGTGCGGGCGTCAGAATCATCAGGCTGAAAGCCGCTCACGATAGGTATACCAATACGTCAAAAATAATGATACAGACAGACATGATTCATCTATTTCTTCCTCACCACAGCGAGAGGGAATTCTTTTGCAGTAGAGTGGTAATAAAACGCGGACGGTTGGGTAGAAATAATTCCAAAAAGCATAAATCCTTCCTCCCGCCTGCAAAAACCTTCAAGAAACGAGAGGTGATGGGGTAGTTTTCTAAATCCTTTCATGATTTTGGACCATCTCTATCGCGCAAATTTTCGAGATGAAGGACGGAATGAGTCAAAAATCGCTGCCGCCAGGATGGCGGAAATACGGAAGGAGATAATAGTGGCGGCAGAGCCTCCAAGGTGGTCATCTCCCTCCTCCCTCTTACCGTCTTACAATTCTCAGCCCTGTCGGTTTCTGACAGACCGCGGGTCCCAGGGTTCGATTTGATGAGCTCGGATGGCGCTGGCACTACTGGGTCGTATCTGGCTCTCAAACGTGCGCGATGAACCGAGAGGGTGAGCCACAAAAGTCGCCGACTAACGAACACAGTGAATGAGGCTCCTGGTTCATGGCTGGCTAGGCTAGTGCTGAAGACCGTGTCTCCAAATTGGATCATTCTTGTGCGCCCCGATTGCTGCTAGACCGTCGACCACGACCTTACCGGTTGGCCTTCCCAAATTCCCTCTCTGTTGTCCACTGATCATCTGCTGCACCATGCAGATTGGCCTTGAAGCACAGAATACTCTCTCGAGTTTTATAATTTTCGAGGGCCCAGTGATGTTCATTACTCCCCACATGCTGACAGGAGAAGCACAATTCTTCATTGCAAAAATGGTGCAGTCGTTTGTCAGACATGTCACGAGAATGACCTGATCAAATTTACCATTGTAAGTGTGATAATGTCCACCCTTATTTTACCTTTTGGCGACCCAAATACACTTTCGACCCCGGTATGCAAGGAGGTGAGCAATCCCGTCTTTGGCTGAACAATTTAGAACTGACTTCATGGATGCAAGAAGTCACCCGAAATTTTAGCCAGATGGACGAATTCTGGGCGACTTCTGGAGACTACACGAAGCATTGAACAGGGTTGATATAGTAATAGTTACAACACTTCAAATCTCTTGGATGCCTTCATACCCTCCCACCGCAGCGCAGTTAGGTTGACCTCGGTCATTCTCAGATGTGAGCATTAGCCATTTGTCCTAGCTCGAATACGAGCAGCAAGCCGAATGGCACGAGTGCTGCCGCCGAGATACATTTGGAAAGACAGACCAAGCTGTACTCACACATGGCTTCCTCTGAAACATGGTCTGGCTTCCGTTCAGTGAATGTGCAGGTGGTGCTCGGTGACATAAAATCTGGCAAAAAGCGTATGAGGTATCCCTGAGGCCCGCAAATCTCGCCGTTTTTGCTATGACCCTGACGCTTCTAAAAATTCTCACGGGTAGTGGGCTGATTTCGCGGCGATATCTTCGCTGACCAGCTGGTCAACGATCTCGTTGATTGATCGATCTCTTTGTATTGGATGTTGAAGGTAAGATGCTTTTAATGTAAAAAGTTAGGTTCTCTAACAGGGTTTTTGTACGTAGGAATCCGATATACCTTGTAGTAAAGACACTCATTAGTGTTTCTATATGAACTTGACTCGACAATAGCCCCGGCTCTAGCTCCGGAACCCGAAAAGAGTAACAAGGCAAAGGCATCTTAAAATTAAGCTCTTTTATAAATATAGTCATAATCGTCATCTTGAAATAATTATTTGAGAAGAAGATCAAGATCTGTTGCTGTAATATAAAACTTCTTTCTGTGTTTTATTTCAAGTCCATACTTTAGTATCAATTCGTTATAAATATACTTTAAATATAGTTAGTAAGCGTTGTAATTTAGAAAAGGGGTAAGATACCCAGAACATATATTATAAATATTACTTTTAATACTTCTTAGAATAACTCTTAAGGTTTTTCTCTCCCACTCGGCAATAAAGCAGGATAAGTTATAATCCATACTATGTTAAAAGGGTAGGTCTCCTTCACATAGACAGATAAAACTCTTAGAAAAGAGTTTCAAAATCTGGCTGGGAGGATCTGGCTCCACCTTAGAGAAATACCTGTCTTTAGGTTCATTTTAAGTCATCATCCATCTGGTCTGGAGTCAGTGATGTCTGTATATATAGTAGAAAAGTATTTTTATTACTTATATTTTCTAATTCTTAACAGCTCTGTTGTATCTTTCATCAGTAGCCGGAGCTCTCTTTTTGTAACATATCTTATTCTCTTTCCGTTTTGTAATTTGTTGGTACTCTGTAGTAAAACCATGTAATTCACTGATTTTTCGGAGCTTCTTAACCTTTCTCCGCCTCTGCTCCTCGCCTGATTTGTTGTCACGTGACATGCCGAGTTTCAATATGGTATCACTTTTTAAGTTGTTTACTGAGCATGAGTTTATCAAATAAAAAAAAAAAAATAGACAACCAGGTCAAACACCCTATTTAACTTCAAAATTTCTCTTGCTTGGTTGCCTGGCTGGCCCGCTTAGTTACTTAATCGCTCACCCATTTGCTTACCCTGCTCACCCCGCTTACCTACGCTTTTAACAACATCACCCAAATCACCCGCACTCACTCTTCATCTTAGCGTTGCTTACCTATAAAGCAGCGACTGAGAAAGGGCTCATATCCTACTCGGCCGCGTTCAATAGGTGGCTTAAGTACGGCTGAGCGGACGGGAAGCCCTGTTTTCCACACCCTGTGGTCGTATGTGCTTGACACTTGATAAGCCTGAAATATAATGGCTGTGTATTTTGGGCTTAACCTTGAATGGTTGAGGATATGTTTCCAAGTAGGACAAAAAGATCTTGGGTTCTAATACACTCCACAGACCTGAGAACCCGAAAAACCCGCGAAAAAGAATCGCTCATAGCCCCAAGGGTTCGGATCCAGGGGTACTTTGATAAGAGATAAATTTGGGGTTGACCTCGCCGAGCTGCTTTGCGGACAGCACATCCACACATGCATACGTATATCCAACCAGGGTGTCAGATGTCAGACGGCGTCACAGCGCCCGCGGAACTCTGCCCGAAGGCTCCGTCACCGATGGCTGCGGTTTCTTCATACCTAAGATATTTTGCTGCAGACAGACGGTACTGTGCCCCACTGAGTGAAAACATGCTCAACCCAAAATCCAACCATCTAACTCAAACAGTTCGGGGGGTCCCCTCCCCGCCTTTCTCTTACATGTACCGCAGGCTGGGGGTCACTGGAAGTCGGAACTTTTGGCCGCCAACTGGCAGGCCTGGGGCAGCCAACTGGCGAACCTGCTTGTATTGTTGTTGAACGCCGCCAAGCTTGTTTCCTCGGTTCAGCTGCAGCTTGTCCAGGAACCGACCACTCTGGTGCAGTCTGCCGATTCATGGCAATTGCTGGATTAACATCCGTCCATGACACATCACTGAGTGCCCTCGAAAGGCGAGCTAAGGAGATTCTTCGTCTACCATGGCGAGTGATCCATCACCGTCTTGGTTGGTATAGTGGAATGGATTTTGATTTCAGACTTGACTCTACCGTGGGATGTAGAGGAACTGGTTACTATAGCCTTCGCAAAAGCTGGAGACCTTCTGGCAAATTCAAGTGATTTTATGAAATATCTTTCAACGAACCTCCTAACCGGATATACTACACAGATACAACACTACCAACTCGCGAAGGTAACCTTCTCATCCACCCACATCTTCCCCCTTTCACCACCACCTTCTGATTCAGACCCCAACCTTACCGGATGATTTCCTGTCAACACACTGCCCGGCCGCACCGTGACGATCTCATAAGCACGCAAGAGGCGAGACCAGTCATCATGCCTGCACCCGTGATATTTTCTTATCACAACTGTCATTAAGCACCTTGCCTTCGAATCTGGCTTCTCACAAACGCACACGCCTGTCTCTTCTTTTCCAAAGCCTCAAGGGCACCACTCCCTGTGGTCTGCCGTTTTCCCTGCGATGCACCAACAGGCCCAAAGGTGCATTTGAGCTGGCGGTTCAAGATGCTGGGAATTGATTTGTCTGCACCTTTGCCGGAATCACGGCCATGAGTAGGAACGGTGGCTTGGCCGTCTCGGAGAGAAAGCCTGAGGGGGTCTCTGGCCAGCGACGCCTCTCTGGTAACAGCTTGCCGGCCCTTCTGGGAGGGCTTGTTCGAAGACGGCGAGCTGGTCGCAGGTGTTAAGCTCTTGGACTGCTGGGGATCCGAATCTTGTTCGCCTTGCAGGGCGTCGGAGAGTGGCTCGCCATATAACCCATCTGTAATATGACCCACGATCTCCCCGGGAATGGCATCCTTGACAGATTCCTTGAGAGCCGCCTTGAAACCGGTCTCCATCACCTCGTTGACCGTGTATGAACCAGCTCGACCGATAAGACTCTTGAAGCTGGCGACAAATTTGAACCCAGCAGAGAAGGCCCGACCACCCGCTTCCCCGAGAGCACCGCCGATCAGCCCACTGAGCGCGTCGATCCCCACCGATTTCCATGTTGGCGTTCTTCCCTCTGCTAAATCCCCTACTGCTCCTGCTGCAGCACTGGTCACCATTCCAACTGTAATTCCCACGCCTACCTGAATGGCGACACTTGCCCCAGCGGTGAGAACGCCAACTGCAATGCTCGCAATCAAACCGAAAATGCCAGTGATGAGGTCCTTCCACCCGAAGTTGAAGTTAAGGCCAAAAAAGCTCCACTGACCGCTCGGGTCGACACGATTGATCGGGTCTCCCAGGCAGTAAGCATAACTGTTAATCTCGCCCGTGGCAAAGGGACTGCCGGGATCGGGGCTAAGGTAGCGCCTCAGAACCGGGTTATAGACTCGATACCCGTTGCCCAAGTGGTACCATCCAGTGACTGGATCCCGCCACTGGCCATTGAACCCAATCGAGGAGGATGCATCAGGCACACTGAAGCCATGGGGGGTGTACTGTTGTGGATTAAGCTGGTCGGGCTGGGCAGTGTCCACCCACTGCAGAACAGAGCCATGAGCATCAGATCCCCACAGTTGGACCTCGGTAGCGTCCCCGTTCTGGGTACTTTGCCCCCAGTACCTATCGCCATCAGAGATATAGCTTACTTGGCGATCGGCAGCCTTGACACTGATGAGTTTATCTTGACTGTAGAACAGATAGGTATCTGGATGATCAGGAATTGACTGAGAGAGCAGTCTACCAGCTGCATCATAGCTGTATTCACTTGCAAGATTGCCATCACTGTCTCTGACTGACAGCAGGCGACCGCCGCTGTCATAATCCAAGGTACGGCCTTTCTCATCTTGAGTAAGACATCCATTAGCATCATATGCCAATTGGACCAGGGACGGAAAGTCAGGATGACTGTTTGCAATCTGGCTAAGCTGTGTCGGATCATTTTCACTGTAGGAATAGGTTGCAGTGTTCTGACTACCACCTTGGAAGCCAGTTACAACAGAAGTTATGTTGTCGAACTCATCGAAGGTGAACTCCTGGGTCTGTATCTCATGTCCATTTTCGTCCTTTGAAAGTTGGCTTCCCTCACAAGCGTACTTGATCAAATGGTTGTGCTCGTCGTAAGCAAACGATTCATCTCGTTCCACTCCACTATCATCTTCTAATTTACGCGTGGCGATAAGACTCGTTTCGCCATACGATTGGGTCAGCCTAGACACCTGCTTCTTCCCTTGCAGAATTATCCGCTCGATCTCCCGACCGAACTCATCGTAGGTAAGGCGAGTTGTGAGACTGGAGTCACGCGCTGTATCTTTGACTGTAGCTTCTGACAGACGGTTGGCGCTGTCGTAGGTGTAAGAGACCGTGAGGGACCCCACGGTCAACAAACTCGGGCGACCGGCCTCATCATACGAGTTTAGGTATCCCTTTCCATGGACGTCGGTATATTCAAGCAGCTTCCCAGCCATTGAGTACTCTGACTTTGTAGAAAATGACGTGGTACCATCGCTCAGGTCTAGTGTTTCACTCTTCAGCAGGCCTGACGGGAAGTGTTGGCGCTCTAGGTTACCGGATGAGCATTGGAGCTGGACTGCAACCCCCGTCTTGGGGTCATATTTGTAGGTCTCATTCCTGTCTTTGCCACTATCTGTTGAAATCAAGTGGGGCATTCCCGGTTCGTATGTAAGGTTGAAGGCGCCTTTGTTGGTGGAGACCTGTACCGGCTCTGGTGTGCTGCCCTGGTAGGATTGCTTCAAGGTGCGTCCACCGAGTGTTCGCTGTGTCAAGCGGTCTAGACCGTCAAATGCCTGCTCACCAAGACTTCTGCCGTTGACCTGAAGCAAAGCAGGCAGCGCCGCGGCACTTTGGGTAGTATACTGAACGTGGACCTCCCGGCCACTCGCCCAAGACGTTGTGGTGACTCGGTCAAAGGAGTCAGACTTGTACTGGGTCTTGCGACCCATGGCATCCTGCTCTTCAACCAGTCGTCCGAGACCGTCGTAAGTGTATTTGAGCTTGCTGTACTCGGTTCCATCTTGACGCAGCAGCCGGATCTGAGTAGGCACGCCGGACAGATTCAACTGCGTGATAGTTTGGCCTTCCCCCTCGATCCCTTCTGTTTGGTTTAAATTGATAGGATCTGACTCCGAAATCGTCACGACGCCTGTGCCAGTGTCTCTCGTCTTTGAGACTCGACCCCAGTCATCATACTCTAGTTTCTTTGTCGTTCGTAATCCCGTCGGATCACCTTCTTTGGTACGCAGCCAGTCAACCTCAGTTTGTTCAACCTTCTGACCCAGAGAATTGTAATTGCGTTCCTGAACTGAGCGAAGAGTTCCAGAATACGTGGAAGTGGATGTGTCCCACGATCCATCATCGTCCTGCCTCTTTACCTGGCAGATTCTCTCCAAGCCATCGGAGATGAACTGTGTTTGAACACCTTGTGCATCAATTACAGACAGGACCATGCCTTTATCGCTGTCGTCAGGTACGGTATAACTGTTGTAGCGGACGGCTTCCTGTGCAGAGCCGACGGCCGTTGTGGATCTCATCAATCTGCCTAACAGGTCGTACTGGAAACTATCCATGACCCCAGCATCATCCGTCTGCTCAGTAATCAGGCCAGATGACAAGGAATGGGCAAGCGCAAATTTGGCCGAGACGCCGTCACTGCCGGTCGTAGTGAGCGAGGTTTTCAATGTACCGTTGTCGGGATAGTCGTAGGCATATGTCTGGGTCGTAGCAGCTTGCTCTGATGATAGCCAAGTTCTTTCTTGTTGAAGGCGTCCATGATCGCGTGAGCCTGGCTGATCAACATATGTATACTCCGCATGGGTCAGCGGCGAGTCTCCATTGAGGGTGACGCGTCCTTTTGACAGAACGCATGTCGGTACAGTCGCATCGTCCGAGGTGCGGAGCTCCAAATACGTAAACCTCTCGGTTCTAGTCGGTGCAGGAAAAGACGTCGCTATCGGAGTCACTGTTTCCGTTTTCAGGTATCGCTGAAATCCAAGCGGATCAGCCGGGCAGTCTGCCTCTCCGCCTGCCGCGTAATATGTCCGGGTCGTCGTCAGGCCGTCAGGTTTGATCTCTGTTGTTGGGTTACCCCAGTCGTCAAACTCGGTTGTCGTTGTTTCGGTACGACTGGAATCAGTGACTGTATCCGCGTAGGTGATTGCTACTGTTTTCGGCAACAGATATTGCGCAGGCTGATTGTCAAATGCTGTATTTGGTGTGGCATGGTACGTGAGATCATGCGTCGTCTTCTTTGTGTTCAGCCTTTGCTCTATTTTGGTGATGAGATGGAATTTGTTGTATGTGTGTTTTGTAGTCGTTCCACCCTCAACCTGCACCGTAGACGTATAATGGTAGTCTGCGGGGACCTGGTACAGGTTATCCCCGCTAGCACTCCACTGTCGGCCCCCCCCATAACCTAGAAAGTTGAATGAGGAATAGCTGTAGCTTGTTCTCATGGCCGGCTGCTGGCGAAATGGGCGCGCCACATGAGAAATCACGTATGGGATTGTTGCATTGGGCGCTCCTGCGGGCAGCTTGTGACCGTCTTTCTGGTAGTTGACCTCTTCGACCAAGCCAGCAGGGCTTGTCACTTGGGAAATGCAGGTGATTCCGTTGTTGAATACCTTGTAGGAGAGCTGCCAAGGGGGCGTGCCATCGTTGAGTGGAAGTTGGACCTGGGTTAACTGCGCATTACGCCGAACAAGCGTGAAGGTGCTGGCCTCTGCAGTTCCAGGAGCCTTAGTGATGGTCACATTGGAATTGGAATACTGGATATCCAGCAGGTCATCGTCACCATCTCGTATCTTGCTCAATCGCGGCTGTTCACCGTTGCGGATCCAATCCAGAGCAAGCGAGCGACTGTTTGGGCCATAAATCGTGATTGGAACAGATTGGTTGTAGGTATTGTTGAAACCAGAGAGAATCTCCACCTGTCCTGATTTGTAGGCGACCTCATAAGTAGACCCTGCTGCGGATCCCGTTCTTTTTGCCTGGAAGCTTTTGAGCTTTTGGTCCTGGATGGAAAAAGCGCTGGTTGTTTCAGTGGCTTGGAAGCTTTCGCCCGTTGAGAGCGTCAAAGTCTTGCTTTGGCGATGGTTGTAGGAGGGTAGATTAAGGGACCAGCCAGTGCCCAACCCGACGTCATTTGTATTAAGCGGATTGTAGGTCAAGGATAGCTTGAATGATGGGCAGTTGCGAGTATTATAGGGCGCATCATAAAGCCCAATACTGGCCGTGTATTGTCCAGTACGAGGATCAACACCATTTTGTAGAAAGCTTTGGAAGTTAAAACTTTGGGAGTAGATATCACTTGAATCGGACGACATAGCAAACTGTCTATTTCCTTGAGTAACTAGATTTTTCGTCGTAAAGGTAAGATAGATAGCAAAGGCAGACGAGCAGCCCACTCGAGGCGACCTTATTGTGGCTGATTGTAAATCTTATACGTTAGCTAGTTAACTAACTAGGTAAATTATGTTCTTACAAGATTATATAAGTCAGATGATCAGTTCACCCGAATTGAGTTTTCTGCGTATGATGACTATACTATGTAAGGGTGGCCCGGATATCCCAATCTGCTCCAGATACCTAGTTGTTGACAACATTTCCCTTCTCTCAAAGCTGCTGCTTTCAAATAGCTGAGACCCAGTCGCCCTGTGCTTGAACGGATGTTACTCTCGGGAAGCGGAACCATCGGGATGAAAGGATTGTCATCCTGATATAAGATCTTGTCACAAAGCCTAATGATACAACTAAACTCTAAAAGGTTGAAAGCAAAAAAGTGAAAACAAAAAAAAAAAAAAAAAAAAAAAAAAAAAAAAAAGAAAACGAAAAAGAAGTCAAATAGTAGTGATGGTGCAGATAACAGCAACTTTTTCTTTTCTGTTTTCCTATTGAGAAAAATCAGGTTTCATGTTCTGTACTGACATCACACAACCTGCGAGATACACCACCACGCTGAAAACGGACAAAGATATCAGTCTACAGAGTAGAACCAAACAACGAACCGAGTCTGGAATCTATGTCATAATCAATATGCAAGAACAGCGTCACTGCGGAGTAAATGATTGCATCAGTGACTGGAAGGTAATCATACAGTATAATGCCCGCCGCCCCCAAAGGCTGCAAATATGATATAGATATGTACATGAAGTCCTCCAGGACGGCCACCTTTGGATAGTTTGCACAATCATACATTTCCCCTCTTTCCATCGCCTATTCGAGATCCAATCGTCCGAAAGAATGACTATAAAATGGGAGGTCAGCGATTTTCAGGTCTGTACCAGCACGTCGAATAATACAAAAGACACTCTCTACGCCAATAACAATATGCAGGTGCTTGTTATGGTAATGGTGAAAGCTATCGATCCCACAACTGGGCAGCCCTACTCCCTCACAAAGACGGAACTGGATTCGATTGTACTTCTTGACCTCAATGGCCAGACCCAGGAATTGGGCGGTGCGTGGCGATACAAAGACTCGGAAAATGAATTTGATCATAACCTCGACAACTCAATGTCGGTGGAAAGCAGCCCCCAGAACGCGACTCAGGCGCCGAAGGCAGGGTTCGACAAAAAGGATTACTGGGTTTCCACCAATAGAGTCGAATCGAAAATTATCGGCGCCCAAATCAAGCAGCCTGACGGTAACACGATCAGTACCAACGGAGTCGGTGCGTTCGACTCGAGCGTGGTCCTCACCGGCGTCGCTCCACCGACGATCAGCTTTGCCGATTTAACCCTGCGGCAAGACACAGACACGGCGAATGGCAGTAGCTATGATCAAGACAATTATTATCTAACCATCAGAAACCGGCAGGTCCGATGCCTAAACGGTCCTACCTATTACGGATCCGATCCCTACTTAAAAAGGTCAATAGCATTTTGGAACCGGCCTGAAGATCGCACCATCTTCTTCATGTGGCAGGTTGGGCCCAGGAGTCAAGTGGACGTTGGAACTAGAGGGAAACATACCCAAATTACCGTCAATCAAGAAGCAAATGCCGGCTGCTTCACTCGGATGATGATGTGGAATACCCATGATGAACGCCCTGGATATACTTTTGACTACCCTTACTATGCCCTTGACCAGTGTGGGAACCCTTCGGCTCCATTCTATCCTTATTATTCCGATCACAACACTCTTTACCTACATCCATCTTAGGTTGAGCCAGAGGCTATATGTTGGAGTATTTCCATCAAGGGCCAAAGAAGTAAAGCATACAAATTTTGTTAATTGGTTTATTAATTGTTATAAAAGGGACTCGCTACAGCTATATAGTATTTTTATATCTTTACATTATATAACCTAGTAATATTAGGGTGCAAGCAATGGCCAGATAATGGGAGAGGGAAGGTAGTAGTCTTATATTGTTACAGGAAGTTGAAGGTTGCAGAGCTGATAGGAAGTGGTAAATCATACCAAGACATCAATTCAGTGGGTGACCACCAGGGAACCCCGACCTCTTCTGTTATATATGTTTTTGGTGCGGTGTAAGTACAATCCTAGCCTGGTCGAATTCTTAGAGAAAAGCTAGTTGATCCTATATTAATATTAATATTTGATATAATAGTAATAGGTAGTGTAATTACAGGCAGCATATACCTAGCAAGAAGATTAAGTAGGGCTCACTACAATTTACTATTCCCCCTCATGTCTGGTGCATCATTGACATATCCCACCTCGGCGTTATCTCCATGTCCACATACATCTTAAACTCAGTGGTAGCCATTGACCTCGGGTAGCACCGCTTCGATCAGCGACACCGGGCTCCGACAGTCCCAGATCTTCTTCAATTTCAACCCGGCAGAGTGGAGCAGGGCCTTGAGTTCCCCGGGAGTCCGCTCGATCCCGTTAATGCACGACATCATCGTGATATCGCGGCTGTGGCTAAAGCGCGTGTGATAACCGTAGTTGGCGGGTAACGGCCGCGGCGCCGACTCCAGGTCGGGGTCGCCGACGGTGGTATTCATGACTTGATCGCATATCAAGAGGCGAGAGTGCGCCGCCATACTCTTGCGGATGCTGGACAGGATGCGCACGCAATAGTCGTCAGACCAGTCATGACTGCATGCACAAGATTAGCCAAATCACCGTTCGGATTAACGGGCTGGTGGGCTGGATGCCCCGGTTTCATACAGGACATATCGCAAGAAGTAAACGTCAGCCCCCACCGCGGGGTTGGGCTCGAAGAAACTGTGCTCCACGAACTGGACTCGTCCACTCTGCAGGGCGTCGGGGTTCTGCCGGGACCAGATCTTATCGCGCCCTTGCTTGATGACGGGACCTCGATCCTGGACAATGAACTGCAGCTTGGGGTAGACCTTGCTCAGCTGGAGGGGGAAGCCACCGACGCCTCCTCCGACATCCACTACCAAGGCCTCGCCCAAGGAGGCCCAGGGGAAATCTAAGCCGTGGGTAGAACGAAGCCGTTAGCCGGTAGCACGAGAGATGGAGCAGCAGGAAGAATCCTCACCGTAAACATGAGCTGTGCCGAAAACTCGCCCACCACCCACCATGGACAGGCCCATGATCTCCAGCTCGGGTCTCCCGACCAGCCCGTCCTCGTCCGGGGCAGGGAGCCCGAGGACCAGACTTGGAATGCCCGGATAATGGCCGCCAGTCTCCAGCAACTTCTCGGGGGGCACGCGCTCCTCGATCCACTCCCACCGGGTCTTCTTGGTGTCGACGGCACTCTGCCACGCCGTCTGGGCCACATCGTAAGAGGGACCAGTTTCGGGATCTAAAAGTGTATGGGGGAGGCGATCGGAAGCCGTGAAGCCCTCGCTGTTCACGAGCTGCACATAAGCCCGCAGGGACTCATTCGCCACCAAGGCGGCAGAAATCCCATTGTTGGCAAACCGGTCCCGTCCGGTCTGCTGGAAAACACCACTCGAACACAGATACCTTAGGATACGAGCTGACAGCAGGCGCCGGGGGGGGTCAGTTTAGTCTCACATCCTCCGGGCAGATCGGATGCCCCGAGCCAAGCAGAGCAGAGACTTACAAAGTTTCCTCGGCTCAATTTTAGCCTCCCGGCTGATCTGGTCGACGTGAACCCCGCCCTCCTCGCCGGCGGCCAGGATATCGGGGATGCGACGCTCAGCGGCAATATACATGGCGCGGGATTCCTGAAACTGCGTGGCAACCTCCAGGATCCTCGCACTGGGATCAGCCACGAGCTCGGTCAGCTTGCCGACGGCGGCTAAAATGGTCCGTTGCGCATTGAAGAGCTCCCAGCTGGGCAGATTCGGAGCATCGTTCTGACGAGGAGAAGAGTCCTTCGATGCCTCTACCTCGGCCGACCACTCCGCGATAATGGTATGGACAGTGCTGGAGATAATGTTGGCGGTCTGGAGGAGTTGGGCCGCGTCACAGAGAGACTTGGGTGGTCGTTCCATCCTGCCTGCTGAGGTCGCTTGTCCTGTTACGCGGGCTAGTCAAGATTTGTTTCCTATGTCTCTGCCAGCCGCCGCATTCAATGTACTTATTTGTGTTCTCGTACATTGTAGTCGGGATGGAGTCGGGTAGAAGTGGCTTGGGCTCCGGCGGCTCAGTTGTAACCCTACTTTCTCCCCGATCCATCCAGGTGAGCAAACCCCCCGAGCTCCCCCGACTAAGTGGAACTGATCCAGAATCTAGACCACTCCAAAAGGATTGCAACCGTAGCGGGCGTTTCATGGGCGCGGTGTTATACGTCATCAGAACAATTCAATCTCATTGTACGTACGTCCATTGCCGGGTCTATCTAACAGCGTCCAACTTCAGGGTGCAAGGCTACGCTTAGCGGGTATTGTACAAGCTTAATAGAAGTTAGATAGTGTTTAGCATCGGACGAAATTCACATTCATGCGGATTCTATCGCAAACCACTTTTTCTGGCCTCCTCGGACCTCGAAAGCTACACGATCATCTTGCGCCAACTTCCGTAGTACCTCATCTACAAATGGTTCCACAGCCTGAGCTCGCACCTGCTCATCCAGGCCCGTTCCATGCATCGCCGTCACGAGTTCAGGGATGGTGACACTGACTTTGCCACGAACTCGATCGGGTTGACGCTCGTGCTTCATCCGCTGCAATGTGTCGACGACGCGATCTTCTCGCCGAGCCTTCTGGCTGAGCTCCAGGGCGAGCTTGGCTGGTAGGTCGGGGATGACCGTGCCGTGAGCCGGATAGCCCACCGCGCACTGCAGGGACTGCATCACCCGGAGCGAGGACATCCAGGTGCTGAGAATCTCCACGGCGCTGCTCCCGTGGCCGAGGACGTTGTCCCCGGTGAACATGGCGTTCTCTTCTTCGAGAATGAAACACATGTGGTCGTGCGAGTGACCGGGCGAGTGCAGGGCGCGGACCGTGGCCCCGTCGACCTGGAAGACCTGCCCGTCGCGGATCGGCTGCTGATCCTTGCCCGGGGTATGCTTGTAGATCGAATCGGCCAGGGCAGGGTATAAGCGAAGGAGATCCGGGACGCCCCCGGTGTGGTCGCCGTGCCAGTGGGTGAGCAGGACGTGTGACAGCTCGATCCCCGCATCGGCCAAGGTCGACGAGATCAGGTCCGCCCACTCGGGAATTCCCTGGCCCGTATCGATAATCAGACGTCGATGACCGGTGCCCACGATGTAGGTATTGGTCCCTTGTAGCGTGAACTGGCAGCGAAAGGCATCATCAGCCAACAACTACTGTACGGGGGAGGGGAAGGGGGGAGAAGCCACCCAGCACGTTCAGCGTACCTTGCCTGCATTCTGGCCTAGAACACGCAACACACGAGGGCTGATTTGCTCAACGTCCGGAAAAATGGGCAGCCGTGCATGTTGGTCATCTAGATACCCTTCCCAGGCACATATGTTGAGAGCTTTGTTGATCTGTCGATAGCCACCTCGTTTTGCATCTGCCATGACTCCAGCTGCGATGGACGTAAGCTGCTGCACAAGGAGAGCACGGAAACTCAAACAAAAGCGAGTCGACGCTTCCAAAGGGGATGAGAGATGAGGGTTCGCGTTGGTCTTACCGTTCTTACTGTCCTGTTGTCGGTCTCGGCCTAATCGGAGGCGGGTGGATTCGACCGACCCGCCCGATGCAACACGCAATCCACCGAGCAGCCCTTCTGACCCCCGAGCACAAAAGTGTAACCCTAATTCCTGGTTAGTGGTGGTTTTTGGGGGGGAAAGGGGAACGTGTCTCCGGGGCATATAGACATGCCCCCTGTCCGCCAAGGTTCTCCCTGGTTCTACACAGCTGCACGAACAGCTTTTTCACTAGACGGAACCAACACCTGCAATGAGGCCAGCCGACTTTACTCCGTCGTCTGAAGATTCCTTCACGGCCGAGAAGGGGATGAAGGTCGTCTATTTCGGCAACGAGCTGAATCGTGATAGTCTCCCGAAGCTCTCTCAGCGCTTGCACAGCTTGAGCAAAGACCGACGGCACCCGCAGTTGGCCCGGTTCATCGAGGAAAGCACTTGGGCGGTTCGCGATGAGATTCGACAGCTGCGCCCCGGGCAGAAGGCCCCGATCCCCCCGTTTGAGAGCGTTCTCCATCTAGCGGAGCAGCCGGAGCTGTGCAAGGGCCCGCTCGGTGGGTCGATCGAGGGCGTCCTGCTCTGTACAATCCAGCTGGCAACGTTTATTGGGTAAGTTGAGACGGCCTCCTCTGAGACGGCCAGGTCGGTAATGCATCCCATCTAGGTACTACGAAGCCGCGCCCGCCGAATACAGCTTTGAAGCCGCCCATACCTATCTCACGGGCCTGGGACTGGGTCTGTTGGTGTCGATGGCGGTGTCGCTCTCCCCTACGCTGGCAGATCTCCCCGTGGCCGGGGCTGCAGTCGTCCGTATCGCCTTCCGTCTGGGAATGCTGGTTTCGGACGTCTCGCAAAACCTCCAACCCACGGACGTGACAGGGGATCCAGACCCCTGGGCCTATGTGATACCCAATGTCGCTCCCCATGAAGTGAATGAGGAGCTGCAAATGATTCATCTGCGTGAAGTGGGTACCACCGAGATGGGAACTATGCTGCCCGGTCGAAGATACGACCAGCTAACAACCAGCGCTTAGAACACCCCGGAGGCCAGTCGAGTCTTCGTCAGCGCGATCAGTCGAACCTCAGTGACAGTCAGTGGGCCCCCGGCTCGACTCAAGCGCCTCTTCCGTATGTCCGATTTCTTTCGAGACCGCACCTTTATCACACTGCCCGTGTATGGAGGGCTGTGCCACGCAAAGCACATCTACAGCTTGCAGCATGCCCGAGCAGTGGTCCAGGTCCCGGCCCTGGCCGCTTTGAACCCATGCTATATCTCGAGGTACCCCGTGCTCTCGACCAGTCGGGGGGAGCCCTATCCTACCGCCGCCACGGCGACGGAGCTTTTCGAACACGTCATTGCTGAAATCCTGACCCAGCCCATCGAGTGGGACAATGTCATCCGGGGGCTCGTGGAGCGCGCGAAGCTGGTCTCTCTACCCGAGGTCCAAGTGACGGTGATCCGCAATTCACTCCCGGTCCACGACCTCATGGCAGCCTTGCGAACTGCCGACCTGGAGGGCGTTGAGGTGTCCTTGCAGGACCTGGAGCCGTGGGCGACGAAGAGGGTCGATGAGGAGGAATCCGCGCCACGGGGATGCGCTCAATCCAAAATCGCCATTGTCGGCATGTCATGTCGCATGCCCGGCGGCGCGGTGGACTCGGAGAAATTCTGGGAGCTCCTCGAGCAAGGGCTGGACGTCCATCGGAAAATCCCTCCGGACCGGTTCGACGTCGACAGCCATTGCGATCCTACTGGAAAACGGGTCAACACCAGCCACACTTCCTATGGCTGTTTTATCGATGAGCCCGGCCTCTTCGATGCCCCCTTCTTTAATATGTCGCCGCGGGAGGCTCAACAGACCGACCCCATGCAGCGTCTCGCAATTGTCACGGCCTATGAAGCCCTCGAACGTGCCGGATACGTGTCCAACCGGACCGCCTCGTCCAACAAGCACCGGATGAGCACGTTCTACGGGCAAGCCAGTGATGATTACCGCGAGGTCAACTCGGCGCAGGAGATCAGCACGTACTTCATCCCTGGCGGCTGTCGGGCCTTTGGGCCGGGCCGCATTAATTACTTTTTCAAACTGTGGGGACCCAGCTTTAGCATCGATACCGCCTGCTCCTCCAGCTTGGCCACCATTCAGGTCCGTCTAGATTCCTCCCCTACTGTTGTGCTCTGCCGGACTAACCCCTCTTTTCATAGGCAGCGTGTACCGCGCTCTGGAACGGTGACACCGACACCGTGGTGGCCGGAGGAATGAACGTGCTGACCAATTCGGACGCCTTTGCCGGCCTCAGTCATGGTCACTTCCTGACCAAGACTCCCAATGCTTGTAAGACATGGGACTGCGAGGCTGATGGGTATTGCCGCGCGGATGGAATAGGCTCTATTGTGATGAAGCGTCTGGAGGACGCGGAAGCCGACAATGATAATATTCTCGGGGTTGTTCTTGGGGCTGCAACGAATCATTCGGCGGAAGCGGTCTCTATCACCCATCCCCACGCAGGCGCGCAGTCCTTCCTGAGCCGACAGGTCCTCCGCAGTGCGGGGATTGATCCGCTGGACGTCAGCTACGTCGAGATGCACGGAACTGGGACGCAAGCTGGCGACGCGGAGGAGATGAAGTCGGTCAGTGACGTCTTCGTCCCGCGCGCAAAGCGGCGGTCGCCCACGCAGCCGCTCTTCATTGGGGCCGTCAAGGCCAATGTTGGCCATGGGGAGGCGGTGGCAGGGGTCACCGCATTGTTAAAGGTGCTTCTGATGTTCCAGAAAGAGGCTATCCCGCCCCATGTGGGCATCAAGCACAGCATCAACCCGGCATTTCCCAAGGATCTGGAGGAGCGCGGCTTGCGCATTCCGTACGACAAGCAGCCCTGGCCCCGCATCCCGGGCAAAAAGCGCATCGCGATGGTCAACAACTTCAGCGCGGCCGGGGGGAACTCCACGTTGGTCGTCGAGGAGGGCCCGCTTCGCCCCAAGCCGGCTGGGGTGACGGACCCTCGTGGCACCCACTTGGTGGCCGTCTCAGCCAAGAGCAAGGTCTCCCTACGCGGGAATCTCGAGCGGCTCCTGGGCTTCGTGGAAGCTCACCAGGAGGACCTTGTCCTGGGCGACCTGGCCTACACGACCACGGCGCGTCGATATCACCACAATCACCGCGTCGTAGTCCCGACGTCGGATGTCGCGCACCTGCAGACGCAGCTGTCTGCCCACCTGGAATCGGTCGACACCCTTCAGCCGGTCCCCGCCACCGGCCCACCCCCTATTGCCTTTGCCTTTACTGGGCAGGGAGCGTCGTACCGTTCGTGCAACCTCCAGCTCTTCGCGGACTCCCCATACTTCCGCTCCCAGATCCTCCATCTCGACGGCATCGTCCGGGGACAAGGGTTTCCCTCTATCGTCCCTGCCCTAGATGGATCCCACCCCCAGGACTATGAGCACCCGCCTGTCGTCACGCAGCTGGCCTTAGTCTGTATGGAGATCGCCCTCGCCAAATATTGGGCCTCCTTAGGCGTTCAGCCGGACGTGGTGGTGGGACATAGTCTCGGGGAGTATGCGGCCCTCCACGTGGCGGGGGTTCTATCTGCCAGCGACGCGATCTTCCTGGTGGGAAGGCGTGCGTGCCTGCTGCAGGACAAATGCCAGCGCGGGAGCCATCAGATGATGGCGGTTCGCGCACCGCTGGCGCAGATCGAGCGCATCGCGGGCGCTCTGCCGTACGAGATCGCCTGCCTGAACGGCCCCGAAGACACCGTCCTCAGCGGGACACGCGAGGAGATAGCGGCGGTGGCCAAGCTGCTGGAGGCAGAGCGATGCAAGTGCATTGTCCTCGAGGTGGCTTTTGCCTTTCACTCCCCGCAGATGGATCCCATCCTCGACGAGTTCGAGGCGCTCGCGGCCACTGGTGTGGTTTTCCACCCACCCAACGTCCCGGTAATCTCGCCATTGCTGGGCAAGGCGGTCTTCGATGAGAAGACAATCAACGGCGCCTACCTGCAGCGTGCCACGCGTGACTGCGTGAACTTCGTCGCCGCCCTGGAGACGGCGCAGCGCATCGGCACCGTGGACGAGACCACCGTCTGGGTCGAAATCGGCCCGCATCCGGTCTGCGTTGGATTTGTCCGATCCTCCCTCCCATCGATTGGGGCCGCTGTGCCATCGATGCGCCGCGGGGAAGATAACTGGAAAACGCTTACGAATAGCCTCGGGGCGCTCCACTGCGCCGGGGTCGCGGTCGACTGGAATGCCTTCCACCAGCCCTTCGAACGCGCCCTGCGGCTGTTGGATCTCCCAACCTACAGCTGGAACAATAAGAACTACTGGATCCAGTACACCGGGCGGTGGGCGCTCACGAAGGGAAACACCTTCTACGAGGAGCCCGGCTCCGAGACCAGTGCCCCTGCAGCGGTACCCGCGAGCCTGAAGACGTCCACCGTCCAACAGGTCATCGAGGAGCATTTCGACGGCAATGCAGGCTCAGTGGTCATGCAGTCGGATCTGATGCAGCCAGACTTCCTGGCCGCAGCCCATGGCCACAAAATGAACGGACGAGGTGTGGTCACCTCGGTAAGTTTGCACATGATGATGTTGTTTGCTCGCTCTCGCGCACACACCCGCCAGCCTACTGACTCCATGATCTTTAGTCGATTCACGCCGACATCGCGTTCACCTTGGGGGAATATCTCTACCACAAGCTCATCCCTGACGGCGAGCCGCACATGAACATCGCCAACCTGGAAGTCCTGCAGGGGCTGGTGGCGCAGGAGAACAACCAGGGGCCGCAGCTTATCCGGGTATCGGTGAGCACGGCGGACATCCGGTCCGGCCAGGCGCAGCTGCAATGGCATAACGTCGTCCAGGGCCGGGTGGAGGATCCCTTCGCGAGCGCCACCGTCTACTACGAAGCGGCAAGCGCCTGGCTGACCTCCTGGCGGCCGGTGACGCACTTCGTGGAGGGGCGGATCCAGGCCCTCGACCAGCTGGCCGACGCGGGCGTCGCCAACCGCTTCACGCGGCGCATGGCCTACGGGCTCTTCGCCAGCAGCCTGGTCGATTACGCCGACAAGTACCGCGGCATGCAGTCGGTCGTGCTCCATGAGCTGGAAGCCTACGCCGAGGTCACCCTGACGTGCGAGAAAGGGGGCGTGTGGACGGTGCCTCCTTATTTCATCGACAGCGTCGCCCACCTGGCCGGCTTCATCATGAACGTCTCTGACGCGCATGACACCCAGACTCATTTCTCCGTCACGCCTGGATGGGGCTCCATGCGGTTCGCCGCCCCGCTCGTCGCCGGTGAGCGATACCGCTCGTATGTCAAGATGATTCCCACTCCTGATGACCCCAATATCTTCCTCGGTGATGTCTACGTCTTCCACAAGGGGACGATTGTGGGTATGGTCGGGGGGATGAAGTTTCGACGCTATCCACGTCTCCTGTTGAATCGTTTCTTCTCCGCCCGCTCCTCCGACGCAACCGCAAAGGATTCGCATGCCCCGCCCAGCGCTCCAGCTCCGACCAGCGCTCCAGCTCCAGCGAGCGCCCCAGCTCCATCCAAGGTAGCTCCGACCAACCCGGTCAAGGCACCTCCAGCTACGGACCGAGACGCCCAACCAGCGGAGGATCTCAGCGCGAACAGTACCGCTGCCAAAGCGCTGGCCCTGGTGGCGGCGGAGGCCGGTCTTGCAATTGGTGATCTCAAGGACAGCGCCTCCTTCGCCAGCTTAGGTGTCGATAGTCTGATGAGTTTAGTGATTTCGGAGAAGTTTCGGGAGACGCTGGGGGTGACCGTCTCCGGCAGCTTGTTCCTCGAGTACCCGACGGTGGGCGACTTGAAGAGCTGGCTACTGGAGTACTACAGCTGAAGCATCGTGGCTAGCTGACTTGTGGACTATTATCTAATCATAATCTTTTTGAATTGAATCCCATGTGCAATGGATGGTACCGTAGCTCTCGCTCCCCGTCTTCCTTCTTCCTTCTTCCTTCTCTCTCCCTTTTCCTACGTAGTGCCGAGGAATGGTGCCCTTCTCAGGTGGAGCGCTGGCGACCCATGGTAGTGCCGGGTATATCACGTTTGCAGTGGATAGTCATCGGGGGGGGGGGGGGGGGATGGGTGGGCTGGCTTATAACGCCCACCTGGCATTTTCGGGGAGGAAACAAACCAAGACGACATGGACACCATCACCCAGCTAGAAGGCTGGACCACCGAGATTGCCGCAGCCGGCCAGCAGCTGGCCTCCTACTGCCGTCAGAACGGGGTGGATGGCGGACAGCCGCCACAGCTCGTCGTGCCGGCGGACGCCCCGCGGGCGATCCAGCAGACCCGACGCCTGCTGCTCCGCAACCTGGACCATCTGCGCACGCTCCTCAGCGAGCCGAGCGACCTGGTGGCACGCCTGGCGGGGGCCACGCAGCAGCTGGCCTGCCTGCACTGGCTCGGGGAGTTCCAGGTGCTGGCGTGTCTGCCGCGGACGGGCAGCGTCCCCATCGCGGACCTCGCGCGGTTGGCGAACGTCCCCGAGGCCCAGCTGGCCCGCATCATCCGCTTCACCAGCAGCAGCGCCGGATTCCTCCAGGAGACTCCCCCCGGCCACGTCGCCCACAGCCCGTTGTCGCGCGCGGTGGGCCATCGCGCCTCGCTGCGCGACGCACTGGGGTTCCTGGCCGCGACGGCCGCGCCCGGCGCCCTACACATGTCGTCGTCCGCGACCCCGGACGACCCCGGCGTCGAGGCGCGCCCCTCCCCCTCCTTCTCCTTCTACGCCGCCTGCGACCAGCAGCCCAAGCTGCACCGTCGCTGGTCGGCCTATCTGCAGCACACGGGGGCGGACCCCAGCGACCTCGCTCGCCAGGTGCTCGCCCGCGTGGACTGGTTCAATCTCAACAAAACTTGCGTCGTGGAGGTAAGAATGGCTGGCTACGGCTCGGGCTCTGGCTAGGGCTCTGGCTCTGGCTCCGAACCCTAACTACTGCCCTGGAGACTGACCTGGAGCCCCGGCATAGATCGTAGGGCCGCAGTGCTCCACCCCGACGGCCGTGACGCTCGCCCAGCTGCACCCGGAGCTCCACTTTATCGTCCAGGTCGTGCAGATCCCGACCTCCCATCACCACCACCACCCTGGCAGCGAGGAGAAGATCCGCGTGCCCCCGCGCATGGAGATGCAACTGCAGCGACGCGAACTGGGCACGCCGCAACGCCTCGTCCGCGACACCACCCTCTACGTCCTGAACCTACATCCGCTGCCGCCCGCGGTCTTCGCCGGCGCCGTGCGGGCCGAGTTGCACGCCCACTTGCGGGTCCTGGCCACCAACCGGCGGGCGACGCTGATCGTCGTCGCGGGGCTGCTGCTGCCCGACCCCGGCGGCCCCGCGGTCGATGCCACCGTCGCCGCCACAGTGCGGCTGCACGACCTCACCCTCCTCCAGCTCGCCCACCAAGGGCTGCTGGGCGAGGCGGAGTTGGTGGCCCTGGTGCACAGCGTGGGGGACAGCGCGGGCGGGCGGTTGGTCGTGATGCATCGCCTGCCCCTGCCGCAAGCGGCCACCGTGGCATTGGGGGTGAAATATCAAGAGCCGGGCGGTCTCGGTTAGCCTTCTGTATCTATCTATCTATCTATCTATCTACATCGGCTGGCTGGTCCGTCTGCTGCACGAAGCATCGCAGTTTTCAGCAATTCCAAATCACCCGGACCGGAAGTGGTATCCGTAGGACTTATAGTGCAACTGAAAACCTACCCGCACCACGGTACGGGACGAAAAAGATTAAAAAAAAAAAATGACAGTTCGAGATAGAGGTTGGCTTTGCATTGGCGGGTGGATTGTTCTCTCTGTCTCCACTATGGACAATGATGCAATCAAGGTATGTGACATCAGGCTTATAGTGGAGCACAAGCTTGCGGGAGGGTCTAGACTTCGCCGCGATCGGATGCAACCCAATTCCTCGCAACGCAACGAAGAAGAACACGGACAACGGGGAGGAAAACCACACCAATGTTTGGTCCGGATCACGATTTCGGGCGGCTTGGCCAGCTGGCGTCAACGCGAGTCAGCGAAAGTGGTGATTGCATGCGACTGTTTCATCCCTGGGCCGGGTGACCGTGGGGCGACGCCCAAGTCTTCCCCTCATTGACATTTCTTATCCCTAGGATTAGAAATCATCGAATCATCGTGAAGTGGTTCTGTCATCCTTTTCGAGAGGCTGGGAACGGACTGTCGCTGTCGGGTATTGAATCCGACGAGTGGACGAAGATCTTTCGACGGATTAGGGCTGGCATGACAGTTGTTGACATTCCCACTCGGGGTTGTAACCACGGAAATCATCCTGTCACTGCCCTACATTCTTGGCCTCCTATCCCCCTTGCTGACTCGCTGACTTCGTGCCCGTAAGGATGGTGCCACGCACATACAACAGATGGCAACGTGATCCATGTATGGTTCGAGGTCAATGCAGTCATGCACTCGCCCAATGGACTGTCGGGGAGCTTGAGTCAAGCCCGCGAGTCCTTCCCCGTGCAGGGGAGTATGTATGCTGCTTGCAGGCTCAGATCGCTCGAGTTTCCCCGGCAAGAAGAGAATCATCGGATTGCGTCACCAATGCCTCACACGGTCCACGCTTCCTCAGAAAGATTTGTCTGTACCACACAATATATTCTCATGCAGAATCGCAGGGACGCATGGTTTTCGAAGATGCGACGGGACTGGCGCCAGATGAGCTGACCTCCGTCTGCCCTGGGCAATGCACGCCGTGCCTTCTCCTCCTCCTCCTCCGCCTCCTCCTCCTCCTCCCCAACCTCATCAGAATCGGATGCCACCAGGCTGCGCAAAAATCGAATTTGGATGCGGTCGCCAGCGTCCCCCCGCCGGGCAACTGCTCTCCACAAACTCTGTGACAGCTGTCACGCCTGTGGCCAGTCCAAGGTCCGTTGCTCCAAGGAGAAACCGACCTGCTCCCGCTGTCGCCGCCGCGGGACTGTCTGTGAGTACTTCGCCATCAAACGACCGGGCCGCAAACCGGAGAGTCGCGCTGAGGGGGGCGACAGCGGTGGGCGGCAGCCGCAGCAGCAACAGCTGCAGCTGCAGCTGCCGCTGCCTGCCCTCGACGCGTCGCGCAGCCTCCCGTCTCCCGAACAGTCCTCGACCCCCACGCCCGTCGCCACCACCCCCGTCATCCATGGCTACCCTCCGCCGGATGCCGCGGGCATCGGGCCCAGCCTCTCCCCCCGGGGCCTGTCGTCCGAGCTCTTCGACGGAACACCCACCCTCCATCCGGCCTGCTGGACGTCGTCCACGGATGACTGGACCTTATCCACTGCACTGACCACCTGGTGCCCCGACAATTGGGACGATTTCTTCTCCATCCCAGTGCTCACCGATCCGCCCGACGCTGGTGGTGGTGGCGGCGGGGACGGCTTGGGCGCGATGGCCCCGGACCTCTTCGTGGACGGGAGACCCGCCATGGAGCAGACCTCCGTCGGCGGGATGCAGGAGGATACGATCTACCTCTTTGGCCCGACCGCTGCCGCCGACCCCTGCGCCGGGACTGCCTCCCTTCCTCGCGCTCCGATCCCGAGGGGCGGTGGGGCGACGCCCGCGGAGGAGCATCCCCGTGGCGCGGCCACCTGCCAGTGCCTGCTCGACGCCCTCGAGCTCCTGAAGCGCTTCGTGGCCGAGGAAGCCGCCGCTGCGCATGGCGGGATGGACCTCGACGCCACGGTGACGGGGAACAGTCACGCGACCACCGTGATGACCGAGATCCTGCACTGCCCATGCTCGCAGCGCGACGGCTACCTTCTCATCCTGCTGGCTCTCGTCGTTTGGAAGGTCCTGGACCGGTATGCCGCGGTAGCACTGCCCCAGAGCCGCAGGAGCAGCAGCAGCAGCAGCAGCAGCAGGAGCAGCAGTAGCAACAGCAGTAGCCACAGCAGTAGCCACAGCGAAGAGACTCCGCCGCCGCTGCTCGCCGGGCAGCGGGTCCTGGGAGAATTGCATGGGATCCAGCGCGTAATGAACCAGCTCCGCCCGCGGCTCTCGACGTACCAGGGTGGCGGCCAGGCGAGCGCAGGTCTGTGGCCGCATCTTCTGCCGACGGGGCCGGATGCCTTACCACCACCACCATCACCACCACCACCACCCCCCGTGGCAGGCTCGTTGGAGCCGGAGCTGCACCGGCGCCTCAGTCATCTCTCCGCGGAAATCATCCAGTTCTTACGTCAGGCCGACTAACCACCACCGAATCCACTTGTTACGAACTGCAAGAAACCCAAAGAATCGAAAGAACTGAAAGAAATGAGTCATAGATGTAAATAGAGCTGCGAGGATCCAGAATTAAACATGAAATCTTCTTCCATCACTACACGATCTCTCTAAGCATCCGGATAAAGACCCTCCATGCCCTTCTTCACCCCGGGCCGGGCCATCAACCGGCCCAACCACTCCTTGACCAGCGGATAATCCTCGACCGTATAGCCATCCTCGGGCTTGATCACCATCGCCACAATCACCTGCCACGAGACCCAGGCCAAGTCGGCGAACGAGCACCGGCCGCCCACGAGCCACGGGCCATCCCCGCCGGCGGCAGGCTGCTTCTCCTTCTCCCGCTGCAGCTGGCCCTCCACCACCGCGGTCACGCGATTGATCTCCTGGACGTACCGCTGCAGCGCGCTCGGCAGCCGCTCGGGATGGAACTTCTTGAACCACGCGGCCTGTCCGTAGTACGGCCCTTGGCCCGAGGCCTGGAAGAAGAGCCACTGCGTGGCGTGCGCCGCCTCGGGCGTGCCGGGCGCGAAGCTAAGCCGGTGGCCGGGGTCGTACCGGGCGATGAGGTACTCGACGATCGCGCCGGATTCCCAGACAATCAGGTCGTCGTTGTTCGGGTCCTGGATCGTCGGCAGCCGGCCGTTCGGGTTGATGGCCACGTAGGCCGGGTCTTTGACTTGCGTCAGGGGCAGCGCGATGATCTCGTGCGGCAGGCCGAGTTCCGCCAGGAGGATGGCCACCCGCGGCGGGTTGGGCCCGCCTTTGCCCCAGACCTTGATGGGGGCCAGGCTTGCGCTTGCGCTTGCGGCGGCGGTTGACGGGGCCATTGTGTTTGGTGTGGGGTGGGTGGGTTTCTCGTTGGGTATGGGGATGTGAGTGTGCGTGTGAGTGTTAAGTGAGAGGACAGGCGGGGATGGCTGTGGTGTTAGTGATGATGGGGGTGAGGGGTGAGGGGGAGGGTTATCAAATTTTATATATCCTTGATGCTCTGAACAGTGAGCCCGGATGTGGATGGAAACTCTACGAGATCGTAATGGGGGAGGGTCCAAGTCGGGCGCATCGGCGACTAAAGCACCGAAGGCCGATCAAGGAAGCAAGAAGTAAGGGTGAATGGGAAAGCAAGGAGGACCGGTCATGTTGGTACGGTACGGTACATAGAGAGCTCTTGACTGGCAAAGAATGACAGCGCATGGCGTGATGGCAGCCGCCATCAGGAATGTATTTGTATTATGCATGCATGCATGCATGCATACCAGGCAATCCAATGAACCCAATGAACATGCCCTAAATGACCGAAACGAACTAAACCGGTCCCGTGGCCGGAAGATAGGGATGGAGGAACGGCAAGTAATGGCGCACGAGCCCCATGGAGATGCACAGGGGGGCACCGCGGGGGAAGCGCGCGGGCCCCCCCCCCTCGGCGGCGTAGGCGACCCCTACATTGCGCATGTCATAGCGGCCGTCCGGGTCATCCGCCGCCTCAATCATCGCCGCAGCGAGGTCCAGGTACCCCAGCGGGCTTTGTTCCTCGGTCAGGCTCAGCCGGTGGCCGCGCCGCACCCCGTCCACCGACAGCCCACCCGGTTTGATGAAGATGGTGATCACCCCCCAGTCCTGCTGCGCCCGCAGCAGCGTCTCCACGCGCCGCAGGTCCTCGTAGACGTGCGAGGCCGACCGCAGCAGGATCCAGCGCACCCAGGGCGGCGTGTTTTGGCTGAGCTGGTCGTCCAGCGTCGCCGACGAGAGGAGCACTAGTTTGGGGAGGGCCTCCTGCTCCGTGTGCAGGATGCGCAGGGCCTGGAGGACGGTGGTGGCCACCTCCATCCCCATGCGGCACTGGGGCACGTTGTCGTTGGTCGACACCGTCAGGAAGACGGCCTGGCACCCGCGGATGCACGCCGTCATGAGTGCAACGTCATGGATGCTACCCTCGAAGATGGTGACGCGCGGGTTGGGGACAAGTTCGGGCAGCTGCCGCTGCAGCTTGGGCTTGTTGCGACAGTAGGCGTGCACCTGGTTGGTGCTGCGGGTGGCGAGTAGGGTTTGGATCAACGCCGTGCCGCAGTTCCCAGTCGCGCCGAGCACCGCGTAGGCCATTTCTCCGAGAGAAATTCGTGGAGCGAATTGAGTCGAGAGATTTTCTGTAGGGTGCGAATGGCCGGACCACGAGGAGCGGACGTGCCCCCCCGCCGTCTGGCCTATAAGAGATCCGGTCTGATGAGGAATTTCCACCCAACCGGTGACGCCGCGGACGCACCGCCCAGAGGAGGGTCTGGAATGGCTGCTATCCCCCTCGGGTCGGGGCTTTTCTTGCTCCCGCGCTCATTTCCATGGGAATCATATCGCCCGAATGTAACGTCTCGGATCTCGGGCCAACCCAGGGCTCGTGGGTCTGAGCTTGTCCCCGACATGCGACTGGAAATGCGGTCATCTTTGGCAGCGCACGTTCTCGGCATGCAGGCTCAACAAGATATCATGTGGCCTGGTAAACCCCTCAGTAGGAATCGTGGGATCAACTCACCTCGGAAGGGTTTCACAGAGAGGTCAGAATCTCCGACGTTACCCCCCCCTCCCAAACCATGCTGGACCCAGTTTTCCAAGGGAAGAGCTTCGCCGCTCAGTATACGTCCGGTGCGAAAATCAGTGAACTGTATGCCCAGACACTGATCGACGAGTCCGGCATTGCCGAATTCCACCATAGGCCACTATTCGTGCTGGACCATGCGTGTGGGACCGGATCCGTCGCCAGCGTCCTCTCTCGGACGCTGAATGAGCAGAATCGCACGAGCTGGCAGTTGACCTGTGGTGATCTGGCCGAGGGGATGGTCGAATACACCCAGCACCGCATGAAGACCGAGGGATGGCACAATGCGGAGGCCAAGATTCTGAACGCCCAGGAGACGGGCCTTCCGAGTGCTCACTACACTCACGTCTTCACAGCATTCGGTACGCGTTTCCATCACCCGTACGAGGTAAGGGAGAGCTGAGTTCGGCATTCCCGAGACTGACGGTTGTTTGTCCTGCACCATTCAGCGTTCAACATGTTCCCGGACCCCGAGGGCGCCCTGAAGGGTAAGCGAGTGGCCCCATGAAGCCGGACGCAAGCTCGTCGGCGGTGTAGAACCCACCTGATACCTTGTTGCTTTAGAATGCTACCGAGTCCTGCAACCAGGCGGAACGCTGGCTACCTCAACGTGGAAGCATGGTACGTAGTCGTCCGAATGCAGAGCCAGAGGAAGGAGGGGGGGGGGAGGAGAGAAACAGGCACCCAGATTAATGATCACAGCCAACTGGTGCACAATCGTGACGCCGGTGGTCAAAAAATTGCAGGCCGATCTTCCCTATCCCACCATGAATGAGATCAACGCGATGCTGAATCAGGGGTGGGACTCCGAGTCCCGTGTCCGGGCGTATTTTAAACAGGCCGGGTTCAAAGATGTCGACATTTCGACTGTGGCGAAGAAATGTACTCTACCGGTACAAGAGTTCAGCGAGGCTTGCAAGATTCTGTTGCCCTACATCCTCAGCAGGTTCTGGACGCAGTGGCAGCGCGACCACTATGCGGCGCAAGTGCCCGAGACACTGCTACAATATCTGACAGAGGAGTATGGCAAGGATGGGCTTGTGCCGATGAAGGGTGTCGCCATCGTCGCCGTGGGCCGCAAAGCTTGAGTGTAATTCCACATGATTAGTTAGGGTTGGGTGATCTTCATCCGTAATTCTACGTAACTCGACAACGATCGACTACTTTTCAGTTTCGGGATGAGAAGACAACGAGTCTGAATCAATTGATGCGATTTGTGCCAAATCTATCAACCGCTCCCACCCATCATCGATCTGTACCATGCAGTCCCTAGAGTAGTGCCGGTACGGCCGCCCAATTCTGGTCAAACCCCACGCCCCAAATCCATTTCTCCTCGATCGGATGAGCCGCACTCGAATCATAGGCCAGCTGGGCGATGCGGAGCCACAAGGGCCCGGTGATGGGGCAGAACTCGGCCTGGTGCCCCTGCTCCCACGGTCTGACGATCTGTTCTCCAACCCTCAGTGCTCGGACCACTTTGGCCAAGTGGCCGTCATCGTGCACCTGCAGCGTCGCCTGGTACAGGCGCTCCCAGTCCCAGTCCTCGTGGCGGGGCTTGTAGGCCACGACGTCTGGCAGCCGGAGCTCGACCGCCCCGGTGGCCGCGTACCACACCAGGTCCACGCGGGTCTTCCACTCCAGCAGGCGCGCTTTCTCGCGGTCTCGGATCCAGGGCTGCTGGAGCAGGACCATCAGCCCCAGCGCAGCGGTCACCGTGTGCAGGTGGAAGAAGTCGACCTTGCGGGCCTTGCCGGGCCGCTGGGCCGCCCCAGCCAGGTAAGCCGCGCAGCTATACATCTCGGCCGCGCGGCGGTGCCACTGCTCGACGGGGACGCGAAAGGCCGCGGCGATGGCGGTGATCTCCTCCCCGGCCACGCCCAGGATGCCGTCGCGCACGCGGGCCGGACCATCCTCATACCCATGGGCGGCCTTCTGCAGGGCCGCATTGTCGCGTACCGCATCGAACAGCTCCATCAAGGGCCGGGGGGACCCTCCTGCTCCGGCGGTGGTGGTTCGGGCTCGTGCCTCGGAGCGGACCAGGAACGGCTCAATGCCCATCGAATCATGGCAGGCAGCCTGGGCGAGGCCCTCGGCCACGATGCCCGGCTGCTCGAACTCGACGCCCAACGCCAGGTGGATCAGCGGGTGGTACAACCCTTCGAACAGATTCGCGAACATGGTCTCCGCGACGGACGTGCCGCCGAAGCAGTACTGGCGGATAACGGTGGGGGCTCCCTTGGCCTCGATCTCGCGGGAGAAGAAGTGCAGGAAGTTCGGGTACTGATCCAGACGCCCCATCCACACGCGCAAGGGGTCGTCGGGGCTGCTGCTGTTGCTGTTGCTGCTCATGCGGGCCACGGCCTCCTCATCGAGCGGGGGCATGGGCACTTGGATATCCACCCCGTCGTTGAACGCCCGTTGCAGATCGCGCGGCCCGCCGCCGAGCGCCAGGATGTTCAGCACGGAGTGAGCTACGTGGTTGTGACCGGCCACGGGCCGCCAAAAGATATGGTGATCATTGTGGTTCTTCTGCAGTAGTCGGCTCGCCGTCTCCAGGGATTTGTCCGTTGGGGCACGGGCACGGGCGCAGGCCACGTCTGCTGGGGGTTGCAGCCGGATCTGGGTCGCCGTAGCCATGTCACTTTTCACTTGTAAAGTAGGGACGATAGTGGGTGGTGGCGAGCCGAGGCCTGGAAAGGCACGGATTTTAGGGTCCAACAGGGTCTTTAAAGGACCCTCTCTCAGGGCCCCCCCCCCCCAAAAAATCGGCCCCAGTCGGCCCCAGTCGGCCCAATGTCATGTCACTGTTGCGTCACCCCCGAGAGGGACTACAAAAGAGGATGTCTCGGCGTAATCAGGGGTGACAATGTTGATTCGTCCTCTTTGCTGGTCTTCCACCCCTACAACGCCCGTTAGACTCCCGAGTCATCGGTCAGTGGCCAAGCTAGGCGGCTGTATGGCAACTATTTATACGCAGTGGGTTTGGTTCCTATGATCAACGCAAGTCCTATGCTCCTGCATGACTATAGTCATCTAAATAAGCAATTAAACAGTGGAATATTTCTGCATATGAATCCAGACTATGGGGTTTGAATTTTCTTTTCTGAGAACTTGCATGTCCTCTCTATCTTAGGAAGCAATCTATAGATCTATACAAATATCGAAAAAAAAAAAAGATGGACAATAGAAGTACAGCTACAAAGACACAGATCTGTATGGACAAACAGATATGTCAGAAACTCTCTTGATTCTCTAACTTGCTTCTCAATTTAGTTTCCTCTTCCTCTTATTCTCACGATATCTGAACCAAAGCCTCTGGTGCATAGAGACCAAAAAATGGACTGTGGAGTCTAGCAGAGAGGATTGTATTTTTGAGTATCAGGCTTCAATCAATTAAACCCCCGAATCCTCTATGGTGTTGTTGTCAGGGACGTTCACGGTTTCGTATTGCTTCGACCAGGCGCGGCATCGATCCTGAAGCCCCTCCAGCGCCCCAGCATCCTCCAAGAGTGGCTTGACCTTGCTGGGCTGCTCCAGAAACTGCAGACCGAGCCCACTACTCACGTGAAAGGCGATGTGGCAATGGAACAGCCATGCCCCCGGATTGTCGATCCGGAAGGCGATCCAGGCATAACCGCCGATGTCGACGTTGACGACGTCGCGGCGGGGGGGATTCTCCAGGTTCGGGACAATGCTCGGGTCGAACTCGCCCGAGCCCTGGGCCAGAATGGCAAAGTCATGGCCGTGCAGATGCATGGGGTGCATGACAGGGGTCAGGTTCCGCGGATATTGGATATCCTCCCAGGTATAATTGTTGGTGATGACGAAGTGGACCCAGTCGCCGGTGTTGTAATCCAGGACGATGGGCACCGTCTCCGGGGGGAAGCTGGCGTTCGGCTCCAGGGCGAGCTTCTGGAGGCTTGGGTCTGACCAATTGATGAACAAGGGGACGTCCCCCAGCGCCCATTTATGGAGGCCGCCGTCGAAATCCTGTGGGTTGGGCCAGCCCTGCTGTCCGGTGCGCAGATAGTCGCTCATCTCCAGGCGGTTGACCGCGTGCCCGACGGACTGGCGCACGACTGGCACGAGGTGGCTCGGATCGGGGTCGCTGCATCCCAGATCCCGATATTGTTTGGTGGGCGGGGTCCAGGGCTCCTGGCGGTCCTCGGCGTCGTAGCGAACAATCCCCACGGTCGTGGGCAGCAGGTCGACCTCGGCGCAGTACTGGGCGTAGATCCGGAAATTGGAGCCATGCGTGAAGTTCGCGTTCGCTTCCACCACGACCTCGTACCGTTGGCCCAGCGACAAGTTCACCACGTCCGTGACATAGGGTTCGATGGGGACGAAGTCCATCGCGATGATCGTCAGGTTGTGCCCATCAATCCAGAAGGAGTATTCCAGCAGATTCCCCGTGTTGATCAGCGTGAACTTGTACTTCACTCCCCGCGTAAACGTCACCTCGAAGGGGGCTCCTCCGGTGCCGGTGCAGCGCGTGTCGTTGCGGGGATTGCAGTCGAATGTGCCCCGTCCATTCAAGAGGGTAGTGTCTGGAATCGCGCCACGAGACGAATTATGCGCCTCTCCGACCCAGAGTAAGGAGAACACGTCGTCGTGGTACCAGTCATGGAGGATCCATGGCCCCAGGTCCTCATCCCAGTTGAGGCTCGATGGTCCGTGAATGATCAGCGGCCCTGTAGGATCCCTCGAATTCAGCCATTGCCCCCTTGTTCGGTTTGCGGGAGCGGGCCCGGGCACACTTACCGAAGAGTCCATTGCTGTCTGATGCCCCCGCTTTAGTCTTATGTTCCTCTCCGATGGACGGGTGGATGAGACTCACACTGCAGACTGAAGTGTCCATGATACCAGGAGGTTCCGTACTGCGTGATTCGGAACTCGTAGACCTGCGTTTCGCCTGGCTGGAACCGGACCAAGTCAGACACTCTCTTCGTATTCGCTCCCTGTGCTTGGCCTGTACTGTACCTTGCTAGGACATTGCGTGACCCCGGGGACACCGTCCTGAAAATTAGTGCCGAGTTGCCGGATTCCATGCCAGTGAATCCCGGTCCCGTTGTGGTCCAGGGTGAAGTTGTTGTGCACACGGACGCCTATCACGCTTAGGGTTATGCCTCCTTCCATGAGACCCGGAGTGGCGTGCAAGACTTACGAAGCGTGTCTCCCCAATCTGCTTCGATCGCAGGGCCGGGAAACTGCCCATTCACCACCATTCCCAGTTTTTCGTATCCATCGGGCGCAATGACTTGTTGGCTGAGAGTGAGGTTGTACTGGATGGATCAGTGCCGCCATCGACGGATGAAAGACAAGAAAGCCACTGACCTCAACCAGCTTTCCCGGTGGGACCTGTGTGGTATCGGTGTAGTCGGTCAGAATGTCAAATCCATCTTTCCAGCAATTCCGACTGGTGGGACTATTGCGACAATCTCTCGGCTGCGGCGCTCTGGCTGCTACGCCGAACTGCGCACAGCCACTATACACGAGCCACCGAACCCAAAGCATACTTCAGCGACCGTCCTGGGAGCCTCACAATGAATGGGAACTGAGCTTTTCCCCGTAGACCTCTACTTAAGACGCTTATAACCATGACCGGAGTCATCGGCATCGTGACAACGGCTACAAACTCTCTCGGGGGGATGGGGACGACCCTCGGATCATTTAGCTCGGAGGTTTGCAACCCAGACATTGGTTGGAGTATCTATCTATGCAATCATCAATCTCTATGCCCATCCACTCCACGAACTCAAGCCTCCATTCCGTCGACCGCCACTCCCTGTCGGACAAATTCGTCAATCCACCCGATTGTCATCCTGAAATGCCATACATCATGAGTCATAATCCCCGCGTCCTCTCGCCCGGAGGAGAGATATGGATAGGCGTAGCGTATGACCTACATGCTTCTCTTGGTATCCGCAAAATTCTCGTGATCGTGGAACAGATGCTCCCGATACCACGGGTCCTGCTTCATGCGCTTGTAGTCCTCCAGGCTTTCGAACACCACCTGGCTGAAGCAGTCAAAGTCCGTGACATTGGTCATCTGCGAGTCAAACAGCTCGGCCATGAGCGCGCGGGTGGCCGTGCTGTTATGAATCTGTCGGTGTCAATTCCCCGTGGCACACCACACACACACACACACACACACGGTTGTAGAAGGGGGGGGGGGTAGAAAGAATGTACCATTGTCCAACGCTTGACTCCATATTTGACCATCAGATCTTTGGTCATCGGGGCGGAGACCGTTGTCATGTAGCGGCGGTACTCCTCTTCACTCATCCCCGGCTTGCGGTAGCCGCAGATGGTCAGACAGAGATACGGCCCGGGCTTCTTCGCGGGTGCTGCCATCGCCTCGGTTGAGATTGATGGGGGGTGGAGTGGGGGACCAGTGAGGTCGTGAGTGACATGTCATTTATATCGTATTGGTGGTCCATGGGTGGTTCTAGCCCAACGGAAGGGATAGGAATGTAACCTCCCCCGATCCAGGCATCGGGGGGATTCCCCTGTATAACCCTATAACCCAGCGGTTGATCCCCGTCGGCGAACCGGTTCTTACCTCCTTCCCAGCCTGTGCACCGCCGCAATCCTCCTCAATATGCCGCCGCACGGGACGTCTTTCTCTCCCATCCTCCCCCATGCCACTGCCGTGATCACCGGCTCTTTCCTCTCCGGTATGTGTGATCTTTCTCGTGGTCGTCCGAAGCAAGGCTCACGTCCGCGACTCCAGGAACCATGATGGGGCTGTCCCTCATCACCGTCCCGGTCTTGCTGGAGACGGCGACACAGCCCGCCTACTTGTTGCAACACTTCGTGCGTCTCTACGACGTGGGGCATAAGATGATGCCCGGGCTGGCGGTCACGACCTGCTTCTTCTACGGGATTGCAGGCGTCGGCCAGCGGGCGGGGGCCCGGTCGGCGCTGCCGCAGCTCGTGGCGGGGCTCACCACCATCGCCATCGTGCCTTTTACGTGGTTGGTCATGACCCCAACCAACGACGCCCTGTTTCAGCTGCAGGCGGACGCGGGGGCAGCCCGACTGGGGGAGGTGCGACAACTGCTCGTCCGCTGGGGGTGGTTGCACGCGGTGCGCTCCTGCTTTCCCTTGATGGGGGCGGTTCTGGGACTGCGATATTTGCTTCGAGCAACCTTCGGCTGGTGATCGGAGCCGTTGCGTTGTGTAAGTTAAGTTGTTCAGGTTAGGTTACCGGACTAGTTGGGATCAATGGAACCGCTTGATTACCCCTGGATTGAGTTGATGCTTAGTCACCGGGAATGCCCCGAGCCCCGAGAGGGTCAATGGCCCGCGCCGTGGCTTAGGGTCATTGGATGTATATATTCCAAGTGTCGTGCATGTCATAGATTACAAGTAGAGCCCGTGTCGATGGGTTACTCCTGACTAACTCTGTTGAACCCTTGAAAACGACCCCCATCACCATCGCCACCATCACCACCATCACCATCACCACCACCACCACCACCACCACCACCACACACCAATATCATCCAGTCAGGATGGCAGCGTCCGCGAGCATTCCCATGGCCCCTCCAGTGGCCGCAACTGGCCCGATCAAGTCCAACGACCAGATGTTCGCCCACAGCACGGGCTTCTGGGACAACTACCGCCGCGGGCGGCCCCAGGTGCCGGCGAGCTTCTTCGAGCGCATCTACCGCTACCACCGGGATCACGGCGGCCAGTTCGGGACGGCGCATGACGTGGGCGCCGGGGTCGGCCCGTACGCGGCGGAGCTGCGCACGCCGTTCGCCCACGTCATCGTGTCGGACATCGTGGCGACGAACGTGCAGCAGGCGGAGGCGCACCTCGGCCGCGACGGGTTCAGCTACCGCGCGGCGCCCATCGAGGCGGCGGACGACCTGCGCCCGGGCAGCGTGGACCTGGTCTTCGCGACCAACGTGATGCACTTCGCGGACCAGCCGGCGGCCATGGCGGCGATCGCGACGCAGCTGCGCCCCGGCGGCACCTTCGCGTGCGCCGGCTTCGGCCCCGCGCGCTTCGCCGACCCCGCCGTCCAGGCCGTCTGGGAGCGCATCAGCCAGCAAGGGGGTCGTCTGCTGCTGGGCATGGCCGATCGCCCCCAAGAGACCGTGAACGTCATGGCCCGCAGCTCCGGCCCGTACAACGTCGCCCCCCTCGACCAGCGCTGGTTTCACCCGGGCGCCCTGCGTCTGCACCTGCGCATGGCCCCCAATGACGGCGGCGGGATCACCGGCCTCCTCCCGCCCGAACGCGCCCACGAGGTCTCCGATCCAGACTTCACGGGTCCCGCGGATGTCGTGGTCGAGGAGACCACGGAGGACTGGCGCTTCGAGACCGACTGGGAGGGCTTCCTGCATCATTTCCGCTCGTTCCCGCACGCCAGCGTCGATCCCGCCGCCTTCACGGAGCTGTTGCAGGAAATGCAGGGCCTGCTGGCCCAGGGCCGCTCGCTCCAGGGCTGCTGGCCTGCGACGTTGATTCTCGCGACCCGGCGTTGAGCCTCATCCTTTGTTTGGTCCTTGCGGACTCTTTACTACCCTCTATAATCCATTATGATGACGGTCTTCGGCAGAGGGGCAGCATAATCCGGTAATACAGCCTCTCTCTATAATGTAGTAAATAATGATTACTGGGGTGTTGAAGGTGTGATGCTGTGGGAATTTTTAGCTCTTAAGATAGCAAAGCCTTGGCTTCTGTTTGGTATAGGATTTAGTTAAAATCAGCCTTCGACCGGCATACGCCACAGGCCAGACCCTCGTACTGCGTAATCGCTGGTTACCGTGCGTGTACCTGTAGACGGCAAACCTACCGATAGAGACTGGTTTTTATTTTACTTCAGCAAAAAAGAATGAGCCCAGCCCGGCTCGATCAGGCAACCTTACGATCTGGAGTCGTACGCGCTACCAATTGCGCCATAGGCCCACGTCGGGTGTCTGTTTTTGCTTTACAACCATCATACAACTAACAAATAAATGTGCATGAGGCAAGTGTTGCGGTGATCGTACTTGACCAACGGTGGTTGCAATTGTAAGGTAATCCACAGTGTGTGAGAGTGAGTGAGTGAGTGTGTGTGTGTGTCTGTGTGTGCAGACGGGCTTGGAGCAGGGTGGGAAGTGGTCCCGTTGCTGGGTCGCGTTTGCTGGGTCGAGTGCCTCGGTATATATCTGGTTGTTGCGAGGGTAGGAGAGGAATATACCAAGAGGAAGACATGTGAGTGAATTCAGAAGATGCTGGGTTTGGCACTATGTCACCGTTAGTAGCCGTCGGATCAGGGATAATTGATGTATCGGCGGTACTGACCGGGACCTTACGGCCTCCTGAGACAGGCGACGCCACCCTAGGCTGCCAATCCACAGCAGCTGTCAAAGCTAGAACGCAATCCTTGATGCCATTCTTGGCCACATTATGGGGGTTGGCTTTCCTTTCATCTCCACCTGCCCGTCATCTTGAATTGGTGCCTGTATCTGGTAACATTGCATGAAAGTGGTGCTCAGAGAATATTCCTCCTACCAGAAGTATGAGCATCTCCATATGTCCAGACCATGGTTATGTACTTCATCGTAGTCGGACAATCCCCAGAGCAGCACAGGATCCTCATTGAATACCCCATATATTACCGCGAGGACCAGAAAACACGGACTAGTCCCGCAGCCTGCAGTCAAGCAAGGGGGAGCGTTCGTGGGACGGAACAACCTTCCGTCAGGGCGGATAGCTTTGCTCAGCCGTTTCGTTAAAGCTCACGAGATCCTGAGAGAGACAGAGAAGTCCTCGAGGTTAGGTCATTGAGTAACCAAGAGCACCAGCTGCGAGATCGAGATCATCATACAGCCACCGCGAATGTCCGCGCACAGATGCGACCTGAGCTTGCTTGAGGCGAACGGTGCCGTAGAACTCCTTTCTCGTGCCTGTCCCAGGCCTACCTGGAGTACCCCACGGACTATAACCTTCAATGTCCGTAGTGCGTGCCCACCATAGCCCTGGAAAGCCCTGCAGCGCTCGGCCTGAGTCTGTTCAGTTAGTGTTGTCATGTTGGCCCGACGGAATCGGGTACCCATGGATGCTGGTCTGTGTTCGAAGGTAACCAGTCGGAAGATGGTCAGATCGACTCAGCAAAAGCTTGGCAATTGATCATGACTAGGGAGGAGAAAATAACAAGATGAAGACACCGAGATGGTGCGACTGTTGTATGTGCCCGAAAGATGGATGAAGTCGTGTCTGACAGGATGGAGAAGAGTAAATAGGGACAGATGTCTGATACAGTTATTTGTGGGTGATAGACTACTTAGGATCTATTCATTATATAGAATGGGCCTATGGCGCAATTGGTAGCGCGTACGACTCCAGATCGTAAGGTTGCCTGATCGAGCCGGGCTGGGCTCATCCATTCTTTTTTGGTTGTTTGTCTAACTTCCCCCAACATCTCTTGCGCTCAGCATCTGAGCTTACCACAACTGCAATCCATTTTGTAGTGATGATGTCTCACAATGACTACTAGCAGACTGTCGCCAGCTTGCATCTGAAGCAGGTCAGACGCCCGAGCATCCATACTACCAACAACATGATAATCCATCCAGTGGCCAATAAGATCTCCTAACAGATCGACCATATACCACATCCCCGCCCACAACAACTATAAACAACAAAAATTATACCACCAGGTTGACGTCCACCATACAAACCGCAGAACCCTTATCAAAATATCCTCGGATATTCAATCCTCGCACAGAAAGCCGAGCCCTCCCGCAAAGTAATAATGGCGATGCGTGCGTGGTCTAGACCAACAACCCCGCAACTGACAGGAGGACAAAGATCAAGATAAAGGAAGCATAAAATATTAACTCCTATCCTCAACAACAACAACAACAACAACAACACCACACATAGCCCATTGCCTTTCGCCCCTACCCCTTCACCGAATTTCACTCCCCAAATGCCACAATGACAACCACCGCCCGCCTCGCCAACAAAATCGCCATCGTAACCGGCGCCTCCTCCGGCCTCGGCCGCGCCATCTCGATCCGGTACGCCCGCGAAGGCGCAAAACTCGTCTGCGCGGACCTCACCCCGACCGCTCGCGCGCAGGTGCCATCCGAGACCGAGATCGCGACGCATGACCTGATCGTGCAGGGCGGCGGGGAAGCCCTCTTCGTGAAGACGAACGTTGGGGATGCGGGGGATATGGAGCGGTTGGTGCAGAGGGCTGTGGAGGTGTTCGGGCGGCTGGATATGTGAGTTGCCCCGGGTCTTTTTAAAACCCCAGAGAACTAGTGAGTAGGCTAATGTGGCTGCCAAGTCTCGTCAACAATGCCGGCATTGCCATCGAAGCAAGAACGCCCGCCGTGTGCCATCTGACCGAGGAGGAGGTGTGGGATGCTACGATGCGCGTGAACAGCAAGTCCGTCTTCCTCGGGTGCAAGTACGCGACGGCTCAGATGTTGAAGCAGGAGCCGCATCAGCCCTCCGGGGATCGTGGGTGGATTATTAATATGTCGTCAATTATGGGGATTGTGGCGGGGTTGGAGAATGTGAGTGCCGACTTTTCTTTGATTTTTCGTCTGTGGCCATTCTGTGGTGGTTATATCGGGCAGACGAAAGGGAAGGGAAGTTGACTCGTTTTCTGGCGGAGTCTCCTACTGCGCTTCGAAAGGCGCAGTGAGCAACCTCACGAGACAGGTGGCGCTGGACTATGCCCCCCACAGGATCCATGTCAATGCCCTTGGTCCTGGCTGTAAGTGAGGAGCCCTCGAAAAGGGAGTACCAAGGTTTGAGACTTATGCTGCTGACTGACGACGGCTACAATGCAGACACCCAGACGGCTATTTTTCAAGAAACAACATCCTACATGACCCCTCTAAAGGAGCTGCAACAGCGGCACCCGCTCAAGGGGCCCGGGATGCCGGATGATATGGCTCGGATGGCAGTGGTGTTGGCTAGTGAGGACGCCGGTTGGGTGACTGGGATTCTTCTGCCGGTGGATGGCGGTTATACTGCCCGTTAGGATTGATTTCACATTCTTCAGGAGGTTCAAGAAGAGAAGGCCTGTGAGAACTGACTGAAGAGTTGATATATCCATGAGTGAAAAGATATGTGGTTGTCTGGATTTAGCTATGTGACTTTAAGGAGAAAGAAAGAAATGAAACCATACAGCTTGCCATTGTTGATCTTTCAGCCCAAGTATCAGTGCCACGTTGAATCTCATTCATAAATCATGTAACCCCATTAAGTATTAAGCTTATCTAGTATATAGAAACGTCATCCACAGTCAAGTCCCACAGTAGCTTCTATCATGCCTATTTCGCCGTAAACCGGCTCCGAGCTCTCAAAGCAGCCCCGTAGTAGTACAGCGCAAACATCCCGCCAATGCAGCCCACCGTCAACCCGGCCAGCAGACTCACCCCTTGTCCCACTCCAAGATTCAGATAGAGCGGGCGGGCAAACAGAACGGCGCCACAAGCGAGCGCACTCCGCATAAAATCGTTCCCGGCGAACAGACTCGCCGCATACTGCGGGTACGTCATCGGGATGTAGATGAAGATGCACTGGATCAAGGTGAAGATCCCGATCGTGTACAGCAGTATCCCGACCACGGACACAATCCAGTGGATCGAGGCGCGCGAGGTCCATCCGAAAATGAACAGTCCAATGGGCGGGAGAAAGGAGGCGAACAGGGCGGGGATGAGTCGGCGTTCTGGTGCGCCGGGGCCGCGGGTACGGATCTCGGGCTCGAAGATTTTGTACAGGTACAAGAAGTAGAGTGGCACGGCGATAGCGAGGGCTACGGCGATGCTTAGGAAGACGAGACCCATCTCGCCGAGGTTGAAGTGGTAGAGGTCAATGTAGACGATCGGGAAGACCTCGAAGAACGAGTAGTAGATCCCGTAGATCAAACTGGTGTAGACGTTGAAGAAGAGGATCGCTGGGTCGAGGAACACGATTTGGAACGGCCGATACAGCGCTTCCATCGCCACGGCGGTGACGGTCAATTGTTTCTGCTTGATCTCGGACTGCGAGCGCAGCTTGTCATTGTCGGTCAGGCGGCGTAGGCGGCGCGCGCGCTGAAGGAGAATGGCATCCGGAAACGTTTCAGGCAAGCAGAAAAACATGAGGACGAGGATTGGGGCCGAGAGCCAGACGGTTTCCCAGAGGGACCACCGCCAGCCCTTGACGGGGACGCTGAAGCCCGAGATCAGAGGACCCAGGGCGGGACCCAGAGTCGCAAAGGCCGCCCAGGTGGTGAGCCCATAAGGCAATTTCAAGAGGCTATACACATCGCCGATACTGGCGCCCCCAGTCGCCAGACATGGGCTGCCAAAGAAGCCCTGCAGGAAACGAAGGACAAGAAGACCTCCAAATGTGTCGACCACCGCGGCGCCGATGGTGAAGATGACAAAAAGCGCGAAGGTGATGATGTACGGCGGATTGCGGCCGACGCTGGGGATCTCGCTGATCGGAGAGAAGATCAGCGGTCCGATCCCGTATCCCAGGACGTACAGAGCCAACCCCAGAGATGCGGCGGTTGCGGAGACGTCAAAACGGGTTTGGATCTCCGGAGCGCTGGGCGTATAGATCGACGAGCCCAGGTATACAGCAAAAGTGTATAAGTAAATTTGAGTCACCACGAACAGCTTCTTGCCGGAGGACCAATTCTGCGGGTTGGCCGGATCATGAGTCGTGTACCAGTCCACTAGAATGGTACCGTCATCGGTTTTGGTTGGCGCTATAGGTCGGCTGGGGGCCGCCTGCAGTGCTTCGGTCTGCGTAGCGACGGAGTACAGGCGAGCCAGATCATCTTGGGTGCGGACCTTCTCAAGATCAGTCATTGACGGCACTCGGCTCAAGTTGGTGGCCGATTCGGATGTAGAAGCATCTTCAGATTGTCGTTCGTTGGCGTCGGGCTCGGAATCCGAATCCTTCTCACTGTCTGCTTCGAAGATTGTCGCTGAAGGAGCATTTCCTGCGTAGCAATTCGGGCACTGAAAGTCCGGACGCTCCTCAGGGTAGGGCAGGACTTTGTTCCTGGTGACCCATCGCAGAAGCTGTCCAGCTGTGCTATCGCGGATGATCGAATCCATGATCGAATGTGGTTGAGAACAAGCTGGTCGGTGATTGTGTACTGACACATTGTATCGAAGACATTTCGGCCATATTTATTCTCGTCCTGGAGTTCATACTGAAAAAAATCGTGCTCGTGTTGGAATTATTCAGCGTGGACAGGACAAAGCAGCCATGCGATTCCACGGATGGTGTTTTCGGTCATTATTCAGCACACCCGCAGAAAACACGAGGAACGGTGATTACTGATCACGAACGAACCCTGGGTTAGCCATTGGTTCTCGCCAAGCCACGCCATCATCGAAGATCTGACAAAGCACGAGATTTCTAAGTCAGATCTGTAAGATGACCTTTATGATCCATCCAGGGAGCTTAAGAACCGAAAGTTTGAGAAATGTCTCAGCTCGTTTGGCCAAGGTTCGTGAGTCAGTCGGACTTCATGATCTTGGCACAATCAGAACTCTGATTTGTCATGCACACATTGCACCATGGATGATTGATGCAAAGCAAATGGCTTTACAGTATAGTTTATACGGCACATTTTGGCCTGGCAGCCCTCAATGACCTACCGTACAAGAAATTGAAACTTGTTCTCAATGCCTTCCATGTTCATGGAAACGAAACTCCATGGTCTTCACGATATATGATCGGTGCGCCTCTTCTACTCGAAGAATGTGTTCCTGGCTACTCGTACCATCTTGCGCCTTGGACGCATCTATATGTGTTTCGAAGAGCGATTGGTCCGGCATGCGGCGTACAAAGGGAATGGGCTTCAGCTTGAGACTTGGGCCGCTCAACTCATAGCCCGACGTTGAGCGGCGGGTTCGATGAACAAGGGCCGTGTACGATTGACGCAGGGTCGGCAAGGTCGCGCAAATAATGATGAGATACATCTGTACCGTAAGTTAGCACTTCCTTCAAGGTAATGAGCAATGCTGTATCGTACCTCAATCCTGTTTGATACATGGTTAGACATAAGTGAGCGCCAGTCCAATGGAACAATGGTGAAACTCACGTATACCACACAGTAATATCTGCCCAGGACCCTACAAAGCCTAGTTGGTATACTAATCTGGTCTTAGAGATTATGGTTCACATACATGTTATGTCTGAATGAGCAGGAAGGCTCTTCAGCAAGATGGCCTTCACCAGTGTCGCGGCTGCGGCACTAGGAATGACTCAGTTACTGTCCATACAGGAAAACAAAGGGATTCACTCACCAAATTCCCGCTCCCATCACTGCCAGAACTCCGAATTTGATCTTCAATGGCAGTCGAACGTGCCAGAAAACTGCGATAGGAAATATGGCAAGAGCTAAATCCGCGAAGGCGTTAAAGGCTATCCTGGAAGTCAGAGTCGGATTTCCTTGATTATCAGCATGATCACTAGATACTCACCGGCTTGCGAGAAACCAAGCACTAGTTGAAAGCCTAAGCTGAAGCATTTCCCCGGGGTCTCAGGGCGCCATATCTGTTCCGCCGGTCGGCAGAAACCTATAATAGCCACAATGGCTAATGTGTCCCAAATGATCGAGACTATAGTTAGGGCGTATAAGAACCATCGCTTGCTTGGAGTGGCCGCCTGGCCCATCAGGCGCAGTAAAAATATCACGACAGATATCTTCCCTGTTGTGGTACTAATGACTGAGAACTTGGGTGCGATCACCGTATACTTGAATGCTTGAATCCTGGCTTCTTCGTCCGCAATATCTGTCAAGTGCTTCCCCAGGCCATATTTTATGCCGACCTGTACCAAGCCAGAGCATACAAGAGCATTCGTCTATCAGTGGTCACTTGCGTTAGCGAGAATCTTCCGCAATCGGACCTTAACAGACCTCATACCAAACAGACAATAATGAAACCATCATCCCAGCCAGCTTTCTGCGTCAGCCATATTCTAGTGTACAGCCGAAGCACCAAAGCGAGGCTGGCAATGCTGCCAAAGATCCAAGATACAACTTCGATCTCAGTGCCCTTGTCGATAGGCATGATGAGACGACCGATTAATGGATAATGTTGCCGCATGTACCTCACAGACAGTCGGAGCGGATTTATACGCAGCGACTTGCGTAGCGTCTGACGACGCTCGTGTCCTTGCTGGCAAGGATTGTTATTGCATCTTTAACAAGCGACCATTCATATTTAGTGATAGCCAGGTGTCTAGGGAGCCGAATGCCTAGAGCTCTAGACTAGATCCGATGGACGTCCGCCCTTGATCATACAAACCTCGAGGTGGATCTTGTTGACCTTGGCAGTTTACCAGATCATTTAGCCTCACTGCCTTTAGACGGAGAATCATGGCCTTGTTATTGAGCTTCGAATATAGGACTAATTGAACTGTTAGAGGTGGATTCCAAACAACCCATGTTTAATAGGCCGACAGATATTGATTGATCGGCTGCATGGCCGGTAAAACTGGCCGCAGCTTGGTTGCATATTTAGCGTCTTCGAAGCACAATGGCCCTAGCAAGCACGTCAACCAAGTGAAACAAGTATAAATTAATTGTCTCGTTCTATGATCGACGAGGTTAGAAGCACGGATGAATACCCCTGCATCCACCGCTAATCACCTGCCACTAGTGCCGCTAACCTCGGCCTAAATTGCATTCCACCATTAGGGACAATATCAGAGAGATCCTACACTATGAATTCCTGACTGTAAGCAAAGTAGTCCGTAGAAATGCCTGTCAGTCACAATCTCCGCCGGTGGTAATCTCGGGATGATACCGGGATGCAACTCCATTTAGGGGAAACGAGCCTTATCAAAACCGCCCTACTAGGCTACGCAAACCTCAATTAGGGGTATGAGGGGAAGCCTACCCTTCGATAGAGATATAGCCCAAATATAGGCCAGTCGAGAGAAAAGGCTCCGGGGGTCAATTCAGATTCGTGTCCTGATCGTTCACACACTTAGCCACTCAGACCACCACCCTCACCCACCGATATGCCCTCAAACGAAAATTATCATAATGGCTCCTCGACAGAGACTGAAGAGTTGCTAAGGTGAGTCAATCAGTCGGCCAATTATTTCAACACGTCTCATGGCGAGGCCGACCGCGTGAAAGCACTGCGCGCGGCACAGGAACTGGTGACTGCATTTCAGAAACCGCAGGGTGCAGTGTACGACCTGGCCTATTCAGTATGAAATCAGCCCTTATAGCCAAGTTGAAGGTTTCTAATGTTGATAAGCCCACCCATGTGATGTGTGTTAGGATCGCCATCGATCTGGAGATTTTCACCACCTTGACCGAAAGGGGTTGTCCGACGAGATTAGAGGAGTTAGCGGCCGTCAAGGGCGCTGATCCTATTCTGACAGGCAAGCAAACCCCTCTATTCTGTGATCCTTCTGACAGGGTCTTGTAGAACGAGTGCTGCGCATTCTGACCGGCATCGGTTATGTGGCGGAGCACGACGTGAGAGTGTATATCCCGACGGCAATGACGAGGCAAATGACCGACCGTTTGAGTCTGGCGGTAGTAAGATCCATATGCGTAATACCTGGCCTCCTTCGACAGAAAGTGATCTGACAATGCGACATTATATGCTGTAGCTTCGACGTCGGGATGCCCACGCTCGCCAAAGTCCCCGAGTTTCTGCGAACGACTGAGTACAGAAACCCCTCAGGCCCTTTGAACGGTGCAATTCACTATGCGGAGAAGATGGATACTATCGTCTGAGCGTGGCTCGCCATAAAACCGGGACACCTGGACGCCTGCAACACGTTCATGGAAGCGGATCGGGGTAGCCGACCCAGCTGGTTGGAGTGGTTTCCGGTTCAGGAACCACTGATTGAGGGTTATCAGAAGGGTGACAGCGATGTGCTACTCGTGGACGTAGCAGGACGACGTGGACATGATATTGCTGCCTTCCAGACCAAATTTCCCGATGCGCCAGGCCGGCTGGTACTGGAGGATCTTTCGCAAGTTCTAGAGAGTGCAGTGGTTCATCCCAAGATTGACCATATTTCATTCGATCTGTTCAAGCCGCAACCAATACAAGGTCAGTTATGGACACTCAGTTCAACTCATCAAGCTGCTGACCAAGGTACCCCTGTAGGTGCGCGGACTTACTACTTGAAATTCATCCTGCACGATTGGTCGGATGAGGATTGTCGTCGGATCCTTAGGCATGTCGGAGCGGCCATGAAGAAGGGGTACTCAAAATTGATCATTGAGGAGTTTGTGCTGGCTGATAGAGACTGTGATATGCTGCCTGCAATGTGGGACTGGGAGATGTTGATCTTCTGCAACAGTATGGAACGTACGGCGGACCGGTGGAGGAAACTGATCGGTTCTGCGGGCTTTCGAGTAGTGAAATTCTGGCCTCCTCCAGGGGATGGACAAGGTATAATCGAAGCACAGCTGGAGTTAAATTGACCAGTGTGTTTTGGGAGCGCTTGTATCGACGGCTGGAGCAGGTAGGTGGATGGGGAATAGATGAGGGCGGAAGGGAGAGGGAACTTGGAAGAGAAGCAGCGCAAAACCCCAAAACCCCATGTTTGGAGCATCAAGGCTAAGCCGCGGTGAGCAAGTGAAGCAACTACTGCAGAGAAGAACTAGTCAGGAACAGAGAGCAATTATTAGATTCGTATTATTGGCTCATCCAGGCAATGCAGGCATGTAGCCCCTATCAATATGTAGCCTAAGTATGCATCAAAGTAGAGATGTTCGTTCGAGCATGCAAAATAGCACTTTGCCAGATGCTCGGGTATTAATTACAGCTTCATGTCTCTTCCACCAAAACCGACCCCACCCTAGTCCGAGGAAGGACACCAGTCATAGTATCCATTCACGTTGTTTCCCCACCATGAAGGGAAATTGTGCGCTGGCCCTCCGGCTCCGAACACCGCGAACGAGAGGATGAATACGACCGTCAAGCTAGCTCCGTCAAAGGCGCCGGTGATCAGGTACGAGTAGTCCTTGAAAACTCGAGGCTTGAAGTTCCGGAGGTAGTACTGGACGTAAAAGCCCGCGATGACCCAACTGAAGAGGACGCAGGTCTGACTCTGGTTGTAAGGGATATAGCCCGCATACTGAATGAATTGCGGCATGTTGATCTCGGAGACGTCAAATTTCCCGATCCGTGGGACAATCTAGAATACAGCATGAGCATGTTAATTCTATTCCCGGCTAGAGAGAGCAGAGGATGGCCTTCGTTTTGGCAAAGCTACTCACCTTGTGAATAATTTTGTGAACGGCGACCACAGCAGCACCGATTGCCAACCCAGCCGGAACAATACTGTATTGCTTGCCAGCCCTATAGAGATAGGATGCCAGGGCCCAGGAGGTCGCGTTGGTATTGTATGATTGCATGGTTGCACCACTCCAGGACGAGTCTCCGTTGCTGTCTGCCAAAAGTTCTCGGTTGCCGCTCACGATCGAGATCATGACAGCATAGTTGATGAATCCGCCAAGAATCGTGCCGTAGATCTGGGTTAAGAACATGACACGGGGTGGAATTTTGACTAAGGCAGAGCATTAGTTTCCGCATGGTCGTGGGACTTTGATGACACTCACGGTATTCGCCCATCTTCAGGTCGTTGGACAAGGTCACAGCATTGGAAATGACATTGTGTGACCACGCAGCAAAGTACATGTTTCCAACAGGGCGGCCTGGAATCATCAGGCCAGCCAACATCTTCGACAGGTTGTTGGTGGCGATTCCATTGCCATACTTGGAATAGAGAATAGTACTCTGTTGAAAAAGTCTTAGTCAGAGTCTTCAACTGGTTGTGCTAGGGAAACACTCACAAATGGCGCAAAGATAATTCCGACTATCAGCGAGACGACATATGCCCAGGCAGGAAGGGTGACGTTCTCCTTGAGAACCACGACCAGACCTAGGATGAAGCTAAAAAGCAGCACGAAGGCGTACCACCACCACGGAGTTTCTTTGTAATGCTTTGCCATGTGCACATGATGCCGATCGTCGTATTTCCCTGCTCTCGCACTTTTGTAAGTCCGCCAAATATCCCTTCCCCAAAAAAGGATGGTGTGTGCGACTAAAGCACCAATCTAGACGACTTTTAGCTTGAAGACCTCCAGCGAGACAGGGCCACACCTACTGCAGCGTTGGCCATAAACATGGCAAAGGCAAATGTACCCGTGAGCTTGGGAACACCGTAAACTTCCAGGGCGGCTTCATCAAGCACTCCCCCAGGGAAGATTGTGGAGACGGGGTAGGCTGTTCCATTTGCCTGGAGTAGGCGGGTCGACATGAAGGGAAGTGACTTTGAATCCCAGCCATTGCCGTAATAGATGCCAATCATGATAATGAAGCAAGCGAAAAACCCCGCCGCTTGGTGAAGCTGCAGTTTGAGAGGGAGCGAGGTTTGGAAGGAGGTGATCTGCGTCGATTAGATTTGCAACAAATTGCACACAACAAGCATCATCTTACATATTGCCAGTCAAAGCTGAGTGTGAATAGGCCCAGGCCCTCATTGTTGGTTGCTCCACCAAAGATATTGGTAAGGATGGCAGCCTTATTGCCCGTGGCTTTCTGAGCAGCCAAGCACTGTATTTTGAAGACCTGTTAGACAATGCAAAACACTCTTTTCGAATATCATGAACGCTACATACCGGGATAGAGACGGAGTTCAGCCATGGAAAGATGTAGGCAGGGATGATCTCATACACGGCCATGCCGCTGAAAGCATACCAGAAATATCTGAGTGGCTTAGAGTTCTTCACCTGCTGCCAATGAAGCCCCTGCAAGGTTTTGACGACCGGTAGAGTACTCCAGTAGACGGCCTCCGGATGCCAGACTGCGATGGGGCGCATGATGCCACAGAGACCGTAGCCAAATAGACCGATTGAGATGGTGCTTAAAATGACGGTGGTCGCGCTCAGAGGAAGGTTATAGAAGAGGTCCTGGGCCGCAAAGACCTGCACACTGGCGGCAGCATTTGAGGCCGAGGTGGCAGTGATCGAGCAGATCGCGTGCTCCTTCAGACCAAATGGACCCGGGTTGATGAACCTGAAGACCGGAATCCACCATGGAGCCTTGCCCTGGCCGCCCTGTGCCCTCCACCGCGCCTCAAATTTATCACCACGAGGGAGAAAACGAGCCCAAGCATTGCCGACGAAGTAAGAGATGAGGACGATGAAAGTTCCTTGGATGGTGATGAAGGTGGGTTTGAACTGTGATTCCTTTCGTCAGTCGCGGCAGGGAAGAAACCTCACGGGGATATCTCTCTTGGCTGGCTTACCGTGTAGATCTGGTACATAACAGCCTGGAAGCAGGCCAAACCCGAAGCCAGGACCACGCTGCGGAAGGTCAGGGCACTATCGAAGTCATCACGCAGCGGCAGCAAGTGCACAGCTGCATCCGCTCCGGTGACAATCACAGCATCTGGATCTTCATCACTCTCATGGCCGGTGTGGTCAACATCGGTCTTGAGCTCCTCGCCCTTGCCAAGCACAGTGATGGCCGTCTTCTCCTCGACAGGAGTTGAGTTGGAGGCCGACAGACTTTCACCATCAATGGGCGAAGTGGACAATGGAGGTGCCATGGTGGTGGGCTCTCACTGATGAAAGAGGGGTGGGGGTAAAAAGAATCTTGAGCTGAGCTGGCCGTCCGTTTCCGTGAGTTGGCGACGCACACCTCTTATATTCTTGCACCACGTTACTTGGATTAGAGGCTAACCTTAGCTTGCTGTTGTGATCAGTGGCTCCGTGATACCATAGAGCCGGGAAATGAGCCATTCCAGGTGAATGGAACACATTAGTCCTTGCCACTGGGCTTACAGCTAGATTGACATACTAACTCACTAGGCCTACAGTAACACACCAAAAAGAAAATGAGCATGATAGCGCCTTCCGGCTTGTGACCCCTCTTGCTCTTGGCCCGATTTGCCTCCCTTGCCCCCCTTGAAGGTCTGGGTCGACTACTTGGACGAAGAATGAAGGGTAAATCACTCACGCCATTGAGTGGCGTTATCAGTCCGTGGATTTCCGCTGTGCCATCACACCTTGATGCACTTTCGAGGGGTTCTCTGGCAAGGGTCGTTGGTAAAATGCCCAACATGAGTGGTGCCATGAGCTGGAAGATAAGACAGGGCTAAACCTGCCAGGGAGATAACTCCATCGACATGTTGTCAACGTAGCATCGGGCATGGCAGGCGGCAAATCTGGAATCAAACCTACCACGGGGTTCCTACGGACCACCGACGCCAATTCTCCTAGGGCCATGATTTGAGCCAGATGATTTGTTCTGGGCATAGGCTAATGTGATTCCGCCACAGATGCGATGTAGCCCTTGTAGCCCTATCCGCGCTAGTGGTCGACGGGACCGAAGACGCAAGAACCTCACTCCAAGACGTCTTGCACCAACAGTTGTCGTGATTGCGGGCGACCCTGCTGGACACTCGCTCCAGCATGTTCGTGACAGTATATGTTTCACAGGCATTCCAGTTCGTTTGCCGTACTCTCGTCCACGTGGCTGTCGACGCAGGTCTTAATGTTAATCCGATCTCAACGGAATGGCAAAACCCCCCTCCGCAACGGAGCGCGGGGAAGATTCAGGGCAGCCTTCCTTGGGACTGATAAGCAGCTTGTCTTGGCCTTCCACCCAACGTCAACAGAACGCCAATGAAGTCTTGGCCTTCATTGACTTTCGTCGCGCGAACATATATATTAGATTCCCACCATCAATACGAATCGGGCCAATCCGAAGCAGGTGCAGGTTCCCAGGATCATAGGAAGTTCGCAAGTCAAAACTTCGTGGATTTTCGAATGGATTGAACATATATAGGACGATTCGTGGCGAGAAATGTCTGTGACCAAGAGTCTGGGCACTCGTACACCTCGTACGCGAGGGGAAGATAAGGAGCGAGAGCCGAGGCCTGCTACGGCGTGGGGCCCATCCCGCGAGGGGTTCTTATCTGCGTATCTGCGTGTGCGTATCTGCGCATCTTTGTGCACCTGACACTTTTGGATCCCCGGAATTGAAGATGATACTTGTGAGATATTTGAGGAAGGATAGATTGTCGAATGAGGAAACCGCCCGATGTATCTGGCTGCAGTTGGTCTTCAGTGCGACATGCATTGGTACAAGAAGAGTAGGGTACGATGCTGGCATGAAACCCCGACGGAGAAAATACAGACAACCGTGTAATACAACAGCAGAAGCCTCTGGGTGTGACAGGCTTGCTATTGACCTCGCACGAATGTAGCGACGGCAGGAGGCAGGAAAGCAAGATGATGTGAGACTGGAAAGGAAGTGCTGTTCGTTCTTGCTGTTCGTTTCATTCTCTCAGGGAACGAACGGTTGGCCTGATGTGATGTAAGCCAGATAACTTTCCAGTTCTTGTAGCCTTAGGCAGTCAAACAAGAACCCATCCTCGCCTAACTGCATGGTCTCCTTTCAAACTCCCACTCACCGCAGTCTTCATTCCAAGCTTTGAACTATGCCATTCTAGTATCGACCCTTTTGAACAACTGTCATTATGAGCTACCAATGGTACAGTACATTGCCATTATCTTGATCCACCCGACGGCCGCCCGAGAGCCTACAATACATCGTGGCATCGATGGCTACGAGATAGTAGTTTGGAATGAGGCGGAGGGCTTGTGAAGGGATGCAGATCATGACTTAGGATTCTCATCAGCAGCTGTTCAACTGGCGCCAATCGCCATTCATCGGAATGCAAAGTCATGTCGCTTACTGAACGAGACTGATGACGATCTTTCGGATGTGGCTATTTTATACGATTGGGTCAACATGCGAAGCCGCCTGCAAGAGCCAAACGAGAGTCTTTCTTCCATCCCTGGCTTCGAGGCATACTTATAGTCCGACCGGGGAATATCTCGCGAGTCTCGACCAGTTCTACGTGTCGCCACGGCTTGGACTTGCATCTATGCTTTCCGAGAGTCAATCACTTCCCCAGCTTGACCTAGATGGCTTCCAACCAATCGCATCAGCCCATCTAGCTCTCTTGCCTCTGAAACCAGACTCCTATTGTCTTCCTCCCACTGCTCGTGTCTCACCTCACGGTCGCCTGGTCCTTCGATTTCTATAGCCCCCAGAATGTCTCAGTGAAAGATGATGGCCGTAAGACAGTTCAAGAGCCTACAATCGATCTGACTAGATGAATCCGCAGAGTCGCTGGAGATTTGTGAAATTGATATGCTAGCCCAAGCGCTACTGAAGATCTCTCTGTGGTTGTCAAGGTTCTCGATAAGAGTGGCGAAATGTTGAGGATCTACGGACTACGGACTACATCGGCAAGATATGCCTGCATAGCCAACAACACGGACGGGAAGATGCAGCGGGTGGATCCGGTCCGGCATGGAGCGAAAAGCTCCATCAACGAGACTAACTGACACGAGCACTCCGGAGTGTGGCTTTGTGAAAAAGAGGCGCAGTGAGGCAAATATTTTCACACGTCCACTTCACGAGGACAAAGGTTAGCTGCAAATTTTCCAAAGATGAATGACAGAACGTCAATCGAAAAAATGTCCTCACCCAACAAAGCTTTGCGGCTCAGAATTCGCATTTGCAAACAGGCAAGCAGACAGTCGCTGACACGACACACCGCCAATTCGAGAGATCTCCCACTATTGCCAAGTAGCTTCTCGTCCCTCCCCACAAAAACAGGCTGGTCGGCTGGATCGCTAAACCTTGCCGTGTTTCGAGAAGCCTCCAAGGAATGGCTGTCGAACTCAATTTTCCCCGGCTGCGATAAACGCATGCGAATTCTAGGGTTGATTTGCGTCGGACTTGCCGATTGATTCAAGAATAAAACATTGAAATCACCGGCAGGCGAGACCTGAATGACCCACCGTGCTTCATCAGTTGGACTTCACGCCCGTATCAATATGTGGTCAAAACAACCGATCGGAGAGGGCAAATCGAGGCTAAAACACCTGACCAACGCCAAGGACGAGACTGACTCGATCTAATCCTAAAAGGGTAGTATGTATCGACTTTGTATAGTCTAGTCTGGTCTAGCTCGCTCTCGAGAATCTCTCCATCGCCACCCAGCTGGCCGACAGATCCGTGGTGGAAAATCTGTCAACCTGCATGCAGAGTCTGGGAGGAGAAGCAATATGTGGGGAGAGACTGCTTTAATCATCCAGATTCCACGTTCCTCTCGCACCAACGCTGGGGAGAGCTGTCCACGACAGAATTCATGCAATGAGGTCATCAACCCTTCATCACAATACCAGAACTGATTACTTCCTCAATGTGGAGACGAGCTCGTTCCATCTTCAAAGCTTCCGATCCCGGTGGCTGATCATAGCGGAGCTGAAAACACTCCGGGTATTTACCTGAGCAATACACGGTGAGTCAATCGACGCACTGGTCTGATCGTTAACGAGGAGCGGTGACTGAGCTTGAGACTTTGAGACCTTGAGATACTGCTTTCTCTTCTGGGGCATGGGTCCTCCACGCCTGGCCTCGAACGCACAAATGGGACGGGCTCCATCATGAAAAAACTTTCACCAGGTCCACCATAGCTCGAAGATCCACCAAGCTGAAATGTGAAGCTCAGAGTCTCGCCCGCTATTGTGAAGATGCTTCTACGCTGGAAGACTCTTGCCCGGGGAAAGCTTAAATAAGAGACGATCCTCGCCCGGCAGTCCCTCCTCTGTGCGAACCAGTCCTCCATTTCTCTTCGCGTCCTTCTCCTTCCACATACACACAATGAAGGCCGTTACTTCCTGGAGCCTTGTGGCCCTCCTGCTGCAGGCCACTGGCACTAACGCCGCGATCCGGACTGATCTCGGCGCCCGCAATGTGCAGATCGCGGAGATGGACGGCACTGGTGTCCGCCATGGGGATCAGATTGTCTTCTCCGATCCCCGCTCCGACTTCGAGGAGTACTTCCGTTGCGCTCCCGCGTCCGGCAAGCACCTCACCTTCAGCGCGTCTGGACGGTACGCTGCCTGCTGCTACCCCTCTCAGCAGCTTATTGGCAGCATCGACACTGCCTTTGACTGCTGCGGCGAAGGCCACGAGCTCGCTGGCTCCAACAGAACTGGGTACCGCTGCTGCCCTATCAGCCAGATCTTCGATGGCCAGGTCTGCAAGGCCCCTCAGCCTGTGTGCACGAAGGGCAAGGTGCTGGTGAACAACAAGTGTGTCTGCCCCGCCGGATACTTCGAGAACGCTCTGGGCAACTGTGAGCGTACCTGCACCTCCGGTATCTCCACTGGTAAGTCGCAATCCCTCGATTCTCTCATCCTCTCAAGCTCCAGATAGCTAAACTTATGGTCTTCCGCAGGCAAGTGCTACACTTTCACCTGGGAGAACGCCGAGCGTCTCGGCTTCAACGCTGAGGGTTACTACCTCGCCGCCCAAGACGATCTCCAGCAGAAGTTTGGCAAGTTCCAGCTCTGCAAGGACGAAGTCTGCACGCCTAACCTCCCCGTCAACCCCGAGGACGGTTTCCGCATCAAGGACCTGCACGGCAACCCCGTTGACGGCCAGCAGCCTGGTCTGTGGCTCAACAACGCCCACAACGGCGGCCAGATCGGCAAGACCGTGCACTGGGACAAGTCGGGCGAGTTCTCCCTCACCAAGTGGCCCTGCGGCAAGTACTGCCTGACCGGATACGACCACGGTCTGGGCGTTGCCTACCCTGCCCTGACCCCTGCCTTCACCTTCACTACCTATGACCAGCAGTCGTGCATCCCCATCGATATCACCGAGGTGCCCTGCGACGTCCGCCACCCCAACAACAACTGCATCTGGAAGAACGGCAAGGATCAGTGCTGCAACTCGGTGGACTGCACCGCCCAGGTGTAAGTGACCAAAAAAACAAAAACACACTCACTCACACTTTAATAAACGAATGTATTGTTATTTGTATGCATGTTATGGTGGAACCAAAATGAGAGAATGAAGAGAAGAACCAAAGCAAGATATGAGCAATGCCAATAATCTTTTGATGTTTCCATTTATGGCTTGTGTATGAAAACGAATATGTTTCTGTTGTTGTTGCCTGCTTCCTTTTCTCGCGATTGTTACTTCGTTCCATGTATGTATACTAAGACTGGTTGATAGGGTCTCTTTCAAATATAATAACCCCGTGATTCTGTTGATCCTCGTGTTGGTGTCTCTCCATCTTCTGTGGTGTCATATTTCGCCGTTTTTCTATTTCGGTTGATTGGACCGGTTTCACCTTGAACGCTTTTTCTTGTTCTTCTTCTTTATGTATAATGAACCTAAAATTCGACGGAATTGATTGTTAATGAGACACTTTGTTCGGTTGGAGACCTATTGCCCCGCAGTGACACCTTCTGCATGGAGATTCGTACTGTCAGCCTGCCCCCTTGCCCCATTACGGAAAGACGCAGGCCGAGTGACGTTGGCTGCGCTCAAAGCCCGATTATGGTGTGGAGTCGGACCAGTTCAACCACTCGGAGTTCAGCGGCCTGCTGAACTGACTGACTCTGAGTCTATGCTGCTGCTGCTGCTGCTGCTGCTGCTGCTGCTCCTCGAGTACACAGTGTCCGCAGTTCATCTTCAGATCTGAACCAAACAGCTTCGATCTGAATACAAATTACCATTGCCTTTACCTAACCCCATCACATTCCCCTGGCCCACATATCATAAACTAAAACACAAGACAACTGTTCCCTAGAACCCATCGAGCCGCTCGTCCACAACCGTACTCCTGACTCACAAACCAACAGGACCCAGAACCGGCATTCGAAGCGGAAGGGAAGGCTCTACCTACCCGCCCAAAACCGCAAAAATGCCTGCCTTTTCCCCTTGGCCTCAGCCCTCGCCTTCTCCCTCTCTCTCTCCTCCTCCGGCAAGACCAATCCATCATTGCCGACCGGCACGACCGCATTCTGCGCCTTGCCCAGGAAGAAATCCGTCTGGAACCACGCAGCCACCAACGGCACGAAGGCCAGCGCCAGCGCGGGGGCCAGGCAATAGTACAGGGTGCGGCGGTAGGCCTCAACGGCGCCGACGCGCATGGGGTCGTCGATCGCGTACAGCGTGCGGATGGACTTGGGACTGCCGAACAGCTTGCGCACGTCGGCCGCGGTGGCGGTCGCGGGCAGGTGCGCGCGCAGCTGGCGGGGCATCTGGGCGGCCCAAATGACGGCGACGACGGCGGAGCCGATGGCGCTGCCGATCTTCGACCACAGGGAGAGGAGCGAGATGGCCAGGGCGACGTCCTGGTGCGGCACGGAGGCCTGGGAGGCGACGCGCGAGCCGACGACGGACATCGACCCGCCGAAGCCGATCAGGATCATCGACAGGATCATGGTGGCGGTGTTGGCCGTGGCGCGGTGGCCGTCCAGCAGAAGGCCCATGCCGAGGATCTTGATGCACAGGCCCGTGATCTGGATCGTTTTGTAGCGGTGGGTCCACCGTTGGAGGAGCCCGGTCAGCGGGCCGGCGATGCAGAGGGCGAGCGTGAGGGTATTGCCGTAGTACACCCAGTTTTGATAGGACCAGGGTTTCGAGACGTAGACGTAGGAGCTCCAGTAGAGGCCGCGCATGTTTCCGGCAACTGGTCATGGCGGAAGGCGGGAGATGTTAGTGTTGTGATTATGATATAGAATGGTGGCAGGGGGGCGGTGAGGGGATAACATACGCATATAGAAGCTATCGATAACGATGGACATGATGAAGGTTTTGTTGAGGATGAGTCGACGAGGGGCGCTGGGTACACGCGCCCACTTCATCTCATAGATGAAATAGGCGATCAACAACAGCCCACCCACAATCATCATGGCGATGAGGGATCGGTTGCGCCAGCCGCCATCAGCGTAGGTCTTGAGGGAGAACGGCAGAAGCAGTAGTGACCATCCAAACCCCAAAAGGATCAGACCGAAGGCATCGATCTCTTCAAGGTTGTGTTTGAGAGAATCCGTCCAGGACTGCGTGGATGAGGCAGCGGGCGCCACGACGCCTCCCCTGGGTACAATACGGCCCTCGGCTGCAGCGAGATCTCGAGCAGCACGCCGTGCTGTGTTTGAGGAAGCGATGTTGACGATTCCGTGCTTTTTGGCTTTGCGATCAAGGTGTATTAGGGTCGCCACGGCTGGACCCAGTGCTACGGGCATGGTGATGGCGAACATGCCATAGCCCCATCGCCATTGGCCTCGGCCATCGATAGCATCTACAATCTTGCCGGCAAACCAGGTGTTGATGATGAAGGGGGTCGACAGCATCGAGCTGGCAAACCCGCGCCACTCCAAGGGGGTTAGGTCCGCCACGATGATGTCGTTGGTCAGGTCCAAGCCCGAGCTGCCGATAGCGACGAAGACCTCGCCGACGATGTATGCGGAGACAGTCTTGCAGGTTGCGGCGATGATATATCCAATAACATAGAAGAACAGGGTCAAGATATAGGTGTACGGGCGTGAGGTGATATCGGAGATCTTCGCGATGAAGGGCTTGCTCACAGCGCTGATGATGCTGGTTGCAATAGACAAGGTCGACAGTACCGAGCTGTGCTGTTTGAAATAGGACGAGGCATCGACGGAGTAGTACGAGGTTGTAGAAGAATCCAGTGAGTATGCCCATGCACACACGAGAACTGAGATCCCGATCAGCCAACGCGACTTCCGGTTAGACTTAGCTTCGCGGTAGACGGCCTCCATGCGGGTGACGCCCTGAGACTGTCCTCCGTCCGAGATGGACTTCAGGGCTTCATGGTCGATGTCAAAGTCTGCTCTTGCATTGGTGACATTAGTGATCTTGTCGTCCGCCATTGTGTGATTGACCTAGGATCAGGCTACCCGCCGAAAGAGGAGTGCACTTAGGGCCATAAGACGAAGACACATATTTATCCTCGCAGATGCTGGCCCTTGGACTCCATGAGCACGAAAAAAGCTGTTGTCTGATTTGGCATCAACGGCTTTGGTCGAATCAGATAAGAAAGCAGATGATGATCTCCACAGTTATAGGGCAGTCTGCTCAAGGAGGTTTGCTGCTTGGAGCCTATCATAACTGGCACCATGTGCCCATGGAAACTTCAAGACTATCAGATGTTGCCGAGCAAAGTCTCAGCGGACTGACTGAGTCGCCCTATACAGCCTTGCTGGACAACGGCCAAGTCCACGAGAGAAAGGATCCGAGCACTGTCTTAGAGCCATGAGACCCTTGGCTCTCACGTCCAATGTATAGGGTCCTTGGTACCCACATACTTCATTGGGACACTCTTTCTTTCGGCCCCTCGTTGCCAAGTTGCTTGGCCGCTCCTCGCCTGCGACGATCAAAGCAAAAAATCTAATCAGATCAGATAAGCCAAGCTCCATCAATGCCCTCGTATGACCCAGCGGAGGTTATGACTGGCCCCACGGGTTGGCCACAGCACATTGAATCAATTTTGTAGATATGGCCAATCATTGTTAATCAGAAAAGCGGATGTCTTACTTTTGATTGCAGCGAAGCCTCGTATTACCCGATCAGGAAATTGGTCTTGGGGATGTCTGGTTGGAAGAGGCCGCAATTTGACATGCAATACTCTCAATAGCAGTAATGCAGCGAGTTATAGCTATTAGTCTCAAGGTGGGCTCAGGTCCGCATCGGATTCTCCATTTGATTCAGATGTGCTAAGATTTTCCAATTTCATGGAGAATAGTGGCAATGACCGAGACAGAAGAAGTAGCGTTCTTCGTGAGCTTTCACAAGAAGGGTGAAATTTGACTTATGTCTGTGCTTGCAGTGGTAGACTTGTGGGTTGCGCTGCGTTGGAACGCTCTGCTAGACTGGTTATTGCATGGCAATTCTCCGGCCCCTGGTCCGCCGAATACGAAGGTGAGGTTCCTTGATTGGTCCGTTCGCTCCAAGCATAAATTGACATTCCACTATACTCCACATATTGACTCACGAAGTCAAGTATTTGTAACAAGCTCCAAAGGTCGAAGCCTTATTGTGGACGTCGGCAGCTGATGTCGAATGCTTGGAGTTGGACGCGTTCTGCTTCAGGGTCGGTGCTTCATCCTAGGAGACCTTGTCGTGGAGTAGAACCCTTGCAGCACAATATTCTTAGAAGACGGTATCACTCTGTCCATAATGAGGCGTTCTATTGTTCACTGGCATTAGTGTTCAAGGGGGGTAGAGGGGTCCGTCCTCTTCGAGCGTGTTAGTCTGCGTGGTTACTGGTGACCATTGCGAGAGCAAGAGGTGCACTCTATTTCAGAGCAGTATTCACGTAATTAATGCGATGATACTCGGTAGTCACCATTGGTAATCGTAAGTTGAGACCAAGAGTTGATGCGAGCGAACCAGCTCCAGAAGGCTCGGACTGGCGGGCTTCATCTGTCGGGCACGAACATGCCTCCCTGTGTCATAGCTTGTGGTCGACTGGTCCAGGGCGGCTTGAAATATGTAGGATATTAATTCGTCGTGTCTATGACAGTGGTGGTGGACGAGTGTAGTCGATGTGCCTTGGATTCGATGGTGGATAGAGGTGGATCTTGATGTCGAGCTGTTGACGAGAATGATGGTATAGTTGAATCTGCAATAGTTGAATGGAATATTATTATTAGTATTCAATTCAATTTCACCCATATGGGCCTATGGCGCAATTGGTAGCGCGTACGACTCCAGATCGTAAGGTTGCCTGATCGAGCCGGGCTGGGCTCATTTCTTTTTGCTTTCTTCTCTTGCTTTTTCTTTCGCTTCGTCTTCAATCTCGGGTTCTCTTTTGGTCTTTTTTATGGGTGTCGAGATGTAAAGTCTCTCTGATCGGAGAACAGGGTCATGTCTTGCGTAAGGATTGTGCAATGTCAGGTTCGGAGTCATAAGCGGTCAAGAAGTGTGTTCTGTTGTCAGGTACAGTTTCGAGAACCAGTAAGTTAACACCCATAGCACTCACAAGCTTCGTCCACTCGTCCATTCCGCTTGGCGGTACGATTCAGTGGCGCCAGGATGTGTGTGTTGTTTACACGGCTCGTCTTTTCTTAGCACCTACTTACCTATCCATGACATTCCATGGATTGGGGTTGCGTGTATCGCAAATGACTCAGTCCCTCATCCCACATCAGTTGCTGCTCTGAGGACTTTTTTTTTTTTTTACAATTCTACTAATTGGTAAGTACTATTTATCTTGAGATCCAAGAGGTGGATGGATAGCTACTTCTGGCTCATCTAGAATATATGTTTTATTCAAGCGAGACTTGACTTTCTCTAGCTCGTCGCGGTACTCGTTATTTACTACGGTGCCCACCTGACGGCAGCGCGACCAGGCTCGACACTCAGCTATACTGAAGTTGCCAATTTCAGGTTGTCTCTTGACGGGGCTTTTTCGATAACGGTCTGGTCA